AGCTATGGGATCCTTTCATCGAAAAGGTGTGTGTTAATGAACATGATATGGACAACAAACAGTAATATATTGGAACAATTACCAACGGGAAGTTTATGCTCGTAGTGTTCTAAATAAAGGTAAAACAGGAGGACTTAATAAAATAGTAGAGACCAATTAAAGTCTTTTTATGAAGCATGAAAAACAAAGCGAGTTGAATACTGATTGTTTAATAAATAACGAGTCATCAGTTCTGCAAATTAAATGATTCGCACAGCTTTGCTGAGATCTCTGCCAGCCTATCTCATAAATGGAGTAATCAGTACCTGCAGTAATGCTTTGTAAATAGTTAATTGTTTTTGCTTGATAAACACATAGTTAAAGTAAGTAAGTCACATAGTTAAAAATCAGCTTGCATCAAATTAGAATGATTTCTGGCAGATAACAGAAAAACTAAAAACACTACAAATTTCAGTTATAGGAAACTTCCTTTCTCTATTTAAGGATGAAATAGATAAGTAATCTCTATTGAAAAAAATGTATTGGTTGATTTGATAAGTTAGTTCTTTTTTACCTTTTCCATTATCATCTTAAGACAGCACATGCCAAACAATTTTCTCTCATGGGATGTATGCACAAACTTGCTATGGTACCTTGATATTTCGAGTAAGTAAATGTACTTTTGTCACAGCTCATTTTGACAGTACTAATTTTTTTCCAAAGGTAAGGGACATCTTTTAGCTCTCTTAGAAAGACACACAAATTTATTAATTTTTTTAAAATTGTGTTCACAGAACAAGAATACTCATATAAGAAATAAGAGCAATGCCTCTATTTAACAGTGGCCATTGTTGCATAAACACATAATTAAAGTAAGTAAGTCACATAGTTAAAAATCAGCTTGCATCAAATTAGAATGATTTCTGGCAGATAACAGAAAAACTAAAAACACTACAAATTTCGGTTATAGGAAACTTCCTTTCTCTATTTAAGGATGAAATAGATAAACCTTCTGTAGAAAACTGTGTTATGAACATTGTTTTATAACAGATTTTGTATTTCCCCCCCAGCAAAATCTGAACTGAAAAACGGATTTTTTGAAAATGATTTGTTTATTTATAAGCCAGGAGACCATGTCTTAATAATTCTAAGGAGCACTGCAAGTATAGTCTTTTATGTTAATTTTTGTCTGTTATAGTAATAAATAATTTAATGTACAAGCCATTTCTTGGGAAGATCATGAATGTACATTTCAGAGCAATTTAAAAAAGATTGTGACTCACCAAATTAAGCCATGATTCTTGTTCCAGCATAATCAAATTTCAGAAAAGTGTGTAGAGGTCATTTGTCTCCAAAGATTTAATTTTTGAAGTGCTTTGGTCCTATAACCATGGAATCCTAAAAATGACAAATATAGCAATTTTTTATAGCAATTTTTTTTTTTTTTAAATTGCAAAATTCTGAATGAACTGATGAGTATGTAATGTAATATTATTTGTTTGTATACATTAAATTACATCTTAATCTGTTCACATTTATATTCGTTTTGTTTTTTCTTTTTCTTTTTTTTTTCTTCTTGTAAATTGTTAAATAGGATGATATTTCTTCAGTATTTTCATTTTTGGGTGTATGTAATTGAAAAAAAGATGTTAGTCAACACCATGTAAAATTTGTTGCTTGAAACATGCAAAACACTCTTACTTCTGCAGCATTGACTATAAATCTTTCATATAAAGCATTTTTTCCCATAAATTCTTGAAAAGCAAATAATATGATCTTATGAATAAAATATTTATCTGAATTATAACTGCACATAGTTTAGCAATCAAGGAATCGTAAATATTTTTATATATGCTTTTCCTAGGTGTTTTCCTTCATCACTTATTCTATACAAAATGTTTCAAATCACTAGTAATTAAAGCTTGCATATGTAAAATTTCTCAGCATCGTTATCAGAAACCTGTAAATTTTCATGTTTAAATCAAATTTTTTATTATTTAATTACTAGCTGAACCAGATAAAAGCATTATTCCATTATATCTTTCATCTGTCAGCTGTGTTGTACTTGAAAAAGAAATTGTGCAAAATATTTTAAGCAGGTTGTACGCTATTAAATCAGTTATGTTAAATATCAAGAACAATCATCATTAAGACTAATCTGCATAAGTTTTTGAAACAAAATTTATTTAAAAATTATGTTATCAAATAACAAAAAATAATTAATTAAAATAACATATGCTTTGCAATGAAGAATTAAATACTATAACCTAAATGCTGGTAGGTAGAATAGGTTACTAATATGAAGTCAAGACCTGTTATTCTATTAGACTTCAAAGCTTAGATTATTACTGTATTCAAAGTTATTAAGTTATTACTGAATTTTCAATGTCTGCCTTTCAGTTTAATTTTTAGACACAGCCAAAGATTTATTACAATTTCTAGATACCATTTAATTGTAACAAAAATGAAGTTGTGGAGGTAACCTTTTTCATTTTATTCAGCTTCAAATTTATTTAATATTTTTCTTGTCTTCTAAGAGTACAAAAGCTTTTAATTTGGTAGAAGTTAATTCTAAGAGTACAAAAGCTTTTAATTTGGTAGAAGTTAATTCTAAGAGTACAAAAGCTTTTAATTTGGTAGAAGTTAATTCTAAGAGTACAAAAGCTTTTAATTTTAAGCTTTTAATTTGGTAATATTACTGACAGACTACAGCAGTAAAATAGAATAATTACCAACATATTTCAAATATAGAACTTTAAAATACTTATATAAAATAATTCATGTTTGCTTTATAATTTTACAACTTTCAGTATTTCATAATCCCATCTTACAAGGCAGATACAGAACCCAAATTTAGTTCTCCAACATTGCAACAAAAAATTACCTTATAATTGTTGTAAACTAATTCTTAAAGTGTGTTAATGTAAATTTAAGGATTAGCATGTAATGCATAAAAAAAATAGCTTATTGATCACTTTAAGAAGAAAAAAAAAGAATTATTTTTCCTTTTAACAATTGCAGAGATATGTGGGAAAGGCAAATAAAATCAGGAAATTATAAAAAGATACAATCTGTCAATTTTTAAACTGGTCATTTTACATTTCTGAACTAAAATTTTTTGAAATTAACATTTTATTTAAACCATGTATAAAATAGGAGGGAATATGTAAAATGTAAAATATGAAACAAAATTATTAAACTTAATTGGAACTAATTGGCAATATACATTTAATCTATAAAATATAAGGAAATATATTAAATATGAAACAATATTATTAAATTTAATTGGAACCAGTTGGCGATAGACCTTTAAATTCATAAATTTTAAATAAACGCATCCTCACTTCAAAGATATGCTTTGCACCATTTTGTGTCATTCTGCAGCATGTTGCATCACTGTTTCACTGCACTGCAAAATCTTTAACCCATTTGCTACTCAGGATTAAAACAAAGACTTTCTAACTAATAAATACAACTGCAGTTGTTACATATCACCTTTTTCTCGCCTTCTGATGTTTGAATAAACCACATCTTTCACTTTGCTGCCTTTCTTCATTATCTGAAATGTAAATTGCATATATAGAAATTGTGAGGTGCATTTGACATCCCTAGTGTGGTACCAATTTAATCAAAAAGGGAATTTAAGAATTTTTCCTGTTCAAAATAAAAATGATTTTTTAACAGTCAAGCCAGTTGTGATTTTCCCTCCAGTCATCTGTGCAGCAGTTTTCCTCACCCATGACTAAATAATGAATTGGTTTCATCTTCTGCAAAAGCTACAGCATCACATATATATATTTCATAATATTATTTTATAAATAGTGTTTTTCATATACCGGCTGTAACTACTATGTTATTTTATTAACGCTATGCTGGAAAAGGATATTTTATTAATCTTGGTACTTTTATCATTAATTTTCTTAAATAATATAATTAATATGACCTGATAGCATGTACTTCCATGAAAAGGATTTTAGACGAGTCAGCATATGCTACTACAGAAAATTTTCCTGATCGGTATTGTTTGGGAATCACATTCAAAAAGATTGTTACTTTCTTCAGCTTTTCTTTGCTCAAGTAAGAAGATGATATGCTTAACACATTGCTGCTTGTTCTGCCATTTTGTGATCCTCACATATTTTCCATTGTTCTCATATGAATGCCAATCTTGGGCATATTTGTTTCCGGAGAGAATCGAAACGTTGCTATAAGGTAAAACATATAGTTAGGCAAAACAATTATTTTGTGTCTTGGTTAAAATCTACACCAAATACTAGGTTGTTGTTTGGCCTATTATATGCATTTGTTTGCCATGATTCCTGTGGGTAAAAACTTTTCTTTTCTTTCCAGAATCTTTTTACATTATTAAAGCAAAGAATTATAATATTCATAAAATCTTCTAAACAGAAACTGAAAAATTCTACAAATAAGTTTCACCTTTATTTTAATTATAAATTTTTGGTATACTTTTAGCCATACTAATTTTAGATCCTTAATATTTTTCAATTTATAAATAATATTTTATCTGAAATTTTAATAAATCAAAAATATTATTAAAGAGTAAATTAGTTTGCATGCAAATATTTCTGTTTATTTTGGTTGCTATTCTAGATTGGGTGAAAAAATATTTGTAACATCTTCAACTTTCATTTTAGTGCATAACATTTGTTAATTTGTACTTATATAAATTTTCATAAACATAAGTATATTAATTAATTGTTTGTTTCTCTAAGTGTTGACTTTTAACCAGTTACAAAAGATTCTGTATGTTTTAGATATCATTCATATTTTTTTTTTCCTATATCATTTTATCTTCAGTGCTTTTTAATCTTAAAGAAGATAATATTAAAGTATATTAAATACATTAATAAATTAAATTTTAAATGTATGTCCTCTTTTCCTAGAATAGCATTAATTTAATTGTACCACTTCTAAACTGATATTGTAGGTCTAATTGACAGTCTGTATGTGCACAGATATATTTGCATAAACATGTTTTTTTTTTTTTTTTTTAAATTATAGGTAACTGTTGAAGGAGCATTTCGGGGAAGAACAAGAAATTTAAAATGCATATTTAGTGAAATACTAAGTGATGATACGCTTGGTAATCGTACTGAATTTGCTGCTTTTGGGAATGGTCTCCATGTAAATTGTTCAGTCCTCTTGAAACTTGGTAAAATATTTATTGTAATTTCTGTATTTAAGTCTTTCTGCAAATTACAATTCCAAATGATGTGTTTATGACTTTATTTGAATAACTACTGTTTGTAATTATTATTGGTGTCTACATGAGATTGTAATATTGTTAAAAAAGACTAATTAATTTATTAAACCATTTTTTTCTTTATATATATATATGTTTAATATAAACCGTTTTAGTTTCATTAAAGTACATTCTCTGTTAAATTAGTATTTGTGAGTTATCTGAAATTTGGAGCTATGGTGGACAAAAATTTTTACTTAAATAAATATCCTGTTTTTTTGTTGTGTGTATACGTTTTAGCTGTCTGCTACAATACAACTTCAAAGTAGAAAGGGCAGAAGATTAGAAGTCAAACACAAAATCTGTGGGACCATATCCAGTACACTGATAAGATGTGGGAAGCAATTATTTGTTGTGTAATTTTAATATCTTTTATTGACCAAAATTAAAACTGTCAACAGTTTTATGATCAATATAAAAGACACCTAGTGCAAGTTTGTATATGGTATTGTTGATAAAAATAATAATAATAATTGCACTATTACTTTGTCACATGTACATTAAGGACATGGTTGATGACCCAGAAATTATCTTTCATCTGAACTTATCAAATAATGCAGCAAAACTTCGATATGAAAGATATGAGATTAAACCAGTAATATCTCTTTATTAAATGTCATTTTACTGCCTTCATCTAGGCATCTGAAACAAAATTCTTTTGGCAGACAAATAGGGTATCTATTTAGAGAACATGACATTACATAATGTAGCAATCTGCAATTAAGTACCTGAATAAAAAGATTCAAGTAGTTACATGGGACAATTACTTACCATGGCTTCCAACTCCAAATACCTCGCAAGTACCATTAAATTAAATTTATTTTTAATTGCAGTTATTGTTATGAGATTTCAGGCTACATCATATAAATTATTTTAATTCTGTTTTGTTTCAGTGAATTGCAGATTATTAAATGTAAAGCAAAAATGCTTTGTTGAATGCCATTAAAATACTGAATAAAGTTATTACCATTTTGAAAGAAATAGGAGTTTGTTTGTGATGTTGTTGTAGTATTTAGCTTATAAATGTTATTCATTTTTATATGATATAGATTAATTTACTGCCCTAAATCATCAGTTCTAAAGAATTATTGTGCACTTAACAGCAGTTTTTAAAAATGTGTTTCTTTACTTTTTAATTATTTTATTAGTAATCAAAAAAAGTATATTTTTTAGAAAATGGTAAGAATCATTGTTAGCTCATTAACTTGATGTTTTCCATGTAATACTTAATTATTTTGTGCATCATTAAATAAAGCTAACCTATTTTAGGATCATATCGAGTCGGCATAATACTTGAAGTTAGCGATCCTTTTGAAATGGATTATGTAGAAGAAGCTGAATTATTAGTTTATGATGAAGGTTAGTTAATAGTTGATATATTATTATTTTACATGATATGAAGTATTATGTATACAAATAATTGATTAATAATAATGAATTTGGTTGTTATTAATTGCTGTTATTAAATGTTGTGATATCCTCTTTGAACATTAGTGTAATTCACATTGCAATTTCACAATGGAGAACACCAGTGTAAAATACTTTCTTGATTTCTGTCCCATCCATCCCCAAAAATGTGACATTTCTGATGACTGTATGTTGTATTCTGTATAATTATTAGTACAATGTATTAATTATGTGATACTTTTAAGGAACATAAAAACAGTTACAGAGAAAATTGTTGTATAGTAAAGCTGTGTTATTGCTCATATAAATTTAGTTCATTATATAGTTTCAGTTAATTGTTTCATTGATTAACCTCAATAAGCTAGTGATAGCTGTTACTGAGAAATACACATACTAAGCAATGCATATTTAATAATTAGTAATATAGTTTTAGTTTTTTAATTTACTATTGCATTTTGGAAAATTCTAAACTTCAGTACTCTTAACATAAAATGCAATTTTGTTGCTGAAAGTAATGAATATGTGCTATTTATTTATATAATGATTTCTCATCTTTTAATTAATCTACAAAAAAACCAAAATTTGATAAATTAAATGGGATAGATTTTGTGCAATCCTGGATCTAGTTTTTAATTTATGAGACTCTGCACAAAGAATTGTCAGTTGTCATGTGTTTTTCCATTATTTAAGCTTGCTTCACATGGTCAATCATTGGGCAAAAATGTTTTATTTACTATATCTGGTGTTGCAATGAAATTGTTTGCAACAATTACACATATTTTGTCCAAGACACATGAAAAAAATGACCACTTCTGGTGGTTAGTGTCAGTGGCCACCACTCACAGAACACATCCCTACAAATCAGTCTCTATGGTATTTATGAAAACAGTTTTTCTTTTTCAAGCAGAGTGCAACTTTGCATGTGCTGCATTCCCACACATTTTTACAGTCTTTTTCTTGGTGCTGCAGATTGCATGTCATCGAGATGTTATCTTTGATGGCTGGTGCTTATTTCCTTGAAGACAAATTGCTGCATCAAGTACTGGCTTATGTTTCTTAATTGGAATGTGCTACAAGTGAGCAGTGAGCTCTAGTGAGCTACAAGGGAACTTCAGAAACACTCAGTCTTGAAAACCACTCACACGGTTAAACCTGAAAGTTTGATTGAGATTCAAATTCATGTGAACCAGCTTGCTATATGGATATTTTTGTGGTTTTCTTCAAGAATAATGTGAGAATGAGACGGTTTCCTTTAGAATGAAGGCATCTTTTACTTGGCAAGTTGGTCTCATTTGGTTTATTTTACTTCATTAAATTACTGAAGATATAATAAATAGTATAAATGTTATTTATGATTTAAATTAAGCATCATAATCATTATAATCATGATTGAAATTTAAAATTGCCTATAAAGGAAGCAAAGGTATTGTTAGAATGGATTAAAATTATTGACATTTTCTATTTATTATAGTGCTTAGTTCATTTTATATCAGAATGCATACACATGTACTATTCTTCCCACCATAGCTATATTTATTATGGCATTTGAAAAGCTGTTGAATGATTGGATCATTCTAGAAAAATAATTAGTTTTTCTTTAATTGAGATTTTAATTTTTTTTTTGGGGGGGGGCTTTTCAGGTGTTCTAAAATCATATCACTAAGCCCTTAAATATCTCAGAATCTAATAGGTTATAAAGTTATAAAGTATTTTAAAATTCACATTAATGCAATATTTAATAGCAAACTTGTACTGTTTTGTAACAATATATGTGTATACATGTGCATTGATTTATACTGCAATGTGAAAATTATATATTTGTGAACTATTTATTTAATGCTATAGAATCCATCTTTCAGATTAGATGTACTTAAAATTCAGATCTTAAATTGGTGTAAACAGTTCTATCATGTTATAAAAAGTAACTCCATTTATTTACCGAGAGTGTAAAATGTATTATAATGAGAAAAATATTTACCATGCCATAAATTCCATCCATAGCCTTCTATAGAGTGCATAGCGAATTTAATAATGCATTTTTCAAAAATAATGGTATGATCCCTATTAATGTAGAAATATTAAAAAAAATGCATAACATGTATTTTGGAAGAGTATGTCTAAAATAATCTACATTATGTCCATATGTTACAATTTTTTAATATACAATTAGCATATCAAATAATGACGTTAATAGTACTTTTCATATAATCTGTAAAAGTCACCCTACAGAGACATATACACATAAAATGCTGTTCTAACAGTTAAGGGACTATGTTCTTATAACACCATCTGATGTCATTACCAGTCATATTGTAAAACTGTTATCTCACCATGCACCAGTTGTGATAGTGATACTGAGAACTGAACCCAAATTGTATGTATAAAGGCCAAAATTGTATACATATAAAATGCTGTTCTGACAGTTAAGGGACTATGTTCTTATAACACCATCTAATGGCATTACCAGTCATATTGTAAAACTGTGTGATTACATTTGATATTCTTATACAGTAGTGAACTAAATCTATTAGTGCACCAAGTTTAGCATCGTTTTGCCCAGTGAGGCCAAAAGTAAACTTTAAATTATGAGCACCAACCCTTTCGTTTTTGTGCCCGTTGATTGAATTGCTTGATTTCGAGGAAAAACTAATTTTAATTGTAAAATTGTTTTTTCAACTTTTTTTAACTGTATTTGGTGTTAGGTTTTTCTGTATTTTGTAATTTTTAAAGAAGATTAAGTTTTTATGTATTTTTGCCTTTCCGTGAAGTAAGAACTTAATTGATTGAGTTAGATATATATATCTAATGAAATTCAAGGAAATAAGTTTAAATGAAGTGCAGAGAAATGCGTTTAATTTAATAAGCCATACAAGGAAGTCATGTAGTGCCCACATCAGATTTTTTTTTAATGCAAATAACTAATTCATCTTTTTTGTTTATACTTTTGGAGACCATAAACAGTGCAATACATTATATGCTTACTTAAAATTTTGTTAAATATCTTTCAAAACGTTATTTTAGTGATAGAATGCAAAAAGAATAATTTAATAAACATGTAATTTGCTAATATAATAAGTGTGATATGAAATACCTTACCTAGCATTTTAATATAATAATTTTTTTATTTTTTCCTAGTTTACTATCAAAAATAGTAATAAGATACCATTATTTGAAAAGTAGGTAATCATTCTAAGTGTAATTTAAGTAACATATGCTTGAATCATTTAAAAATGCACTGAGTTTTAATTTTGCGCTTTGAAAGATGCATTTTACCAAAAGATTGTAACATGCACTTGTTACACATATACATGTTATGAAGAACATTCGAAATGCATGTATTCTCATAGATTGATTGTTCCAGTCTTCAAAAGTGCTGTGAAATTCAGAAGTTAAGATGTCATTATCTAATATTATAAAATTATCAATGTTAACTTCACAGATTTTTAAATGCTGTAATTACCTGTAAACTAACTTTGCTATTTATCAAAATGACCTTGAACATTTTAATATCAAAATTTACAACAAAATTTAAACTTTGATATTTAAATTATCAAAGTTTTTATTTAATGAAGTTATTTTCAGCAAATTGTACATTTTAGTAAAATCTGAAGCACAATGTACTCTTGATTATCTGGGCTAATGCCATGGAAGAAAATAAGTGAGAATCACAGATAATAGTAAATTTCATGCATATTTTTGCATGTGTTTATTCATTAAAAAATTCATTTAATTCAATTTTAGTTTATTTTGGGGATGTTTAAATATTTATCAAATTTTACTCCATTTTTCAAAAGTGCAATTTTATCATTGCATTTGAATCCCCTTTGATCAACAAAGTGTTTTGTTTAACAATATCACAAAAACTCTGTGTACCAATTCTATATTTTTCAGCAAACTTTATTATCAGTTCACTATGTTTAAATCTTTCGGTTAATATAAATATTTGTTTTAATGTTAAGACACTTTTCTTTTTCTTAGTGCATGTAACATGCTCTTTATTCAGTTTTTAGTTCTAAAATTTTAAAATCAATTTTTAAAAGAATAAGAAGAATATAACATTTGAAAAAAAATCTCAGTGTTCAACTGAAATGATGCCCTCAGTTATGCACATGTAGAACTAACTGTAGTAATTGTTGAAACTAAACATAAAGATGCAGTTCTTAGAGCATGCTCAGAATTGCACATATTTGCTTTTTATGCACTCTCGTGCATAATGTTGAGTGTGCATGTATGGACAATGCAAGAAATAGATAATCTATAAAATGAATAATCTTAATAATAATTAAGATTACACTTTATATTTATGAATGATTTTATAACGCAGTGTTCCATTCACTCTAATGGAGTTGCCTGAATAAAGCTGCATAAAATATCTGATAGTATTAACTATCTGTTTAGTTACAAATGAGTATATATTATAAAGCACATTTATTGCAAAGGGATTATTAAGTTCTCTGTCTGAATAGGAAAGTAATTGCACTGTAATTTAATTCAATAAAATTCTTGTCTTTTTAAACAGTATCATTTTTGTGTGTTAGTTAATAATTATTAATAAATTCATTGCAGCTGAATATGCATCTATGAATCCAACAAAGGCTATTTATGACAGAGGTGATACCCAGAATCTTATTGTTACTTTTTCTGGTGGAAAAGTTCCTCCTTTACCTTTAATCTGTGTGATATCAGGCGAAGGTGTGTTTTCAATTTTATAACACTTACTGTGTTGCTATAGTGTTTTGAAATAATGAATAATATAAAATAATAGAATTTTACATAATTAGTCTGAATTTAATATTGTTATTTTAAATGTGGAGCTAGATTTCAGATATAAGCTACTTTAAATACTCAAAAATTAATTTCTTCACTAGAAAGCTATCAAAATCCATTCTTCATAAAATTATATAACAAGAGTTTTGAAATTTATGAAATCAAATTTAACAATATATTCTCTTTGTTATCATTAATTACTCATTCATAGTCTTAATTTTTTTAAGTACTATTACTAATATATATAAATGTAATATTTTTAAAATGTCAATGTATTTTCAGTATTGATACAGGAGTAAAAAGGATTAACTCTCTCTCTGAAATTATAATATATTTATTTCACTTAATTTCTAAGTACATGCATAGTTACTTTCCATTAGTAATATATTTATTTCACTTAATTTTTAAGTACATACGTAGTTACTTTCCATTACACAAATATTAATATTATACTTTTCTGTTCAGCAAAATCTATAAATCTGTTTTTCATAGGATGGCCACTTGACAAGCGTTTAGCTGCTAGTGAGATCAATACCTTGGATACCTGTGCCATACCCTATCCATCATCTATGAAACTGAATGTGGCTCAATCCTTTAATGGTATTCATACATTTAGAAAAGTTTTTGAATTGAGGTTTTATGCTTCACCACCAGAAATGAGGAAATATTATATTGCTGAAGATGGTAAGAATATTTTATTTTTACTAAATGTTATATATTTTTTATTTGTTTTAAAATGAATAAAGAATGACATGAAGACATTCAATTTGAATTGAGTCTTAGAAAGTTGAAATGAATTAAACATGTTTTTAAAAATACATGTTTAGAAAAGTAGAATGGTATGTTTATCAGCAGTTTGTTATATTTTAACATCTACTTTAAAAAAAAAAAAAAAAGTGCATGAACTTGAATTTAACTTACAACTGAAAATAAGCTTGAACTTAACTATAATATGAATAATATAGAAAGAAGTTAATGAGGCTAACTTTTTAATATGTTAACTTCAGAGTCAACAAAAATTAACTCTTTCCTTTATTTGCATATGTCTGTGCCTTAGTTGTCTGTAACATATTTTTTGCAATTAAGCAGAAGAAAACATCTTAAGAAAATTCTGTATGTATCAATTAATACTACAAAGTGATTAATGATAAGTTTTCATTTTAGTTTTACATAACTTAATTCAAACAATGAAGAATAGCATAAATTAAAAAGGCCTATGACTTGCACTAAAGTTGCAAAGTAATACACCAATAATTTATAATGGAGATGGTTTATGGAAAGTTTTCTTATATATATAGAAAAACTTATTTTCAAACTGATAAATATTTTCAAAAGTGAATTTAAGATAACACAACAATTTATATATATATATATATATATATGTGTGTGCATCTATATACATATGATATTATATATATGTGCATGTGTGTTTGTGTGTATATTAATTCTGTTGACTTGAGGGTTTAGAAAAACAGATGCATAGATACTTAAGATGACATAATGGTGAATAAAACTTTAGCAGAGGGGGTGTTAATTCAACACTTTTATTTTGCAATTAAAACGGGTGGTGCATAGCCCCTGGGCTATGCACCACACAGTTTTCTGCAGCTTAATCTCTTTAGGCAATGACAATGAATAGCAGAGGCAAGAGATACATGTAAGCAAGAAGCAAAGTAGGAGAAAAACGGTTGTCCAATAGGTGACAGCAGTATTTACAGTAAGTTTCTTTAATGAATTAATTTGAAAAGATGCAGTACTGAAAACTTCTTATAAATAATTTGGAACAGAAAATGGTGATATCTAAATTGAAACTGTGCTAAACAACCTTTTTGAACTGTGCTAAAAATTCCATTATTTTTTTAGAAATTTAATACACATTCCATTATATATTAAAAAATATAATAAATAATAATTATATATGAAAAAAATTTTTTTCATAAGGGTAGAGCCTTCATAGTTTATCTTAACATAGTCTGTCTTTGCATACAATTATTTTTTAATTTTAACATTATTTACTATGTTCTATACCAGTTTATGAAAACTATTCCATTCATTTTTCATATTCACATCATTCTCAAAATAATTATAAAATTCTTAACAATAATTCAAATTTTTTTAGCTTTAATTAAAAAATATAATTATTTATATTAATAACCTTCCTAAAAATGATTTCAAAATCATAAAATTTACTTCCTTTACTAAATCAAATTATTGAAATTCAAACATCTAATACCATAAAATTTCAATATGATAACTTCATAAAACAATGCAATATTTTTAAAATTCTATATAGTAAGAGAATATCATTTCATATTCAATTCAAAATTACAAGAATTGATTAATAGATTGGAGGATTTAGAAAAATAAATGTATACATACTTAAGATGACATGATGGTGAAAAAAACTTTAGCAGAGGTGTCATTGATTCAACTCAGTTTTATTTCATATAAAAATGAGTGTACATATCATCATTACATTCACACTATGCACCCCAAAAAAAAAGTGCTGTGCAATAGTAACATTCGTATTTATAGTAAAAAGTTTCTTTAATTTGATTTTATGAAAGCCATCTTCATTCCAGCATGATTACCTAAGAAACATGAAATGAATTAACTTGGAACATGCAGTCTAAAAAGTTTAATAGAAACAATTTAGAATAAAAAGGAGGAGAAAACCAAATTAAAATGAGGAATTAAATGGACTGTTGCTAAATGAAAATTAGTAGTTTTCTTTCATACTTTATATATATATATATATATATATATATATATATATATAATGTATATGTGTGTGTGTAAAAAGTGTAAAGTATGAAAGAAAACTACTAATTTTAATTTAACAATAGTCCACATATAATTGTGTTCTATGTTGAATTCTTTTTTAAGATGTGAATCTTTAATTGATTTTTTAAGCTAAATGATTTATTTATATTATATCATTTATGCATACAGGCTCATCAGCAGTCAACTGACTAAAAATCATGGATCACTTATAATTGTATTCTGAATTTAATTCCCATTAGTAAAATGGTCATGTTACATAGATGATTTCATCAGCTTTCCAATGTGTTATGTAAAAGCATGACCCCATTTCAGCTGAAAGTTCTCACATGGCATCCCTGCTCTTAAGTAAACTTCAAGAGCTCTGCCAAAGCTATAATTAGCCAGTACAGTAAAAATGTGAAATGTTTTGATTATTCATGAAAAAGCTTAATCATATAAATGAGAATTTTTCATTAATTATTATTTGTTCAGTAATTAGTTAGAAGGAGAGAATCTAATAGTTCATGTCTGCATAAACTATTGGATTAGTTTACTGTTCATATGAATGTAGATATTATTGGCTAGAATAAACGTGTTAATTAAATTTCTATGGTAGTTTTTATTAGAGATAGATTTTACAGATCTGTTTTAAAGTGAGAGGTGTACTGTGTTTTATTTCTTGATGTAATAGATTTATATGGATCATTGTTTGCCAATTTTTATATTTTAAAATATTTATGTTGTGTATCTGTTCCCTGTGTTTAAAAAAATGCCTGAATTTAAAATATTCAAATTTGAGATTTATACATTAACTTGATTGTACCTAAACTAAAATCATGCATAAGCATCATTCATATGTAAACTAAAATCATGAATTTTATCACAGGGAAAAAGTATGATATCATTACATTATTAAATTTAAAAACAGATCCATTCTCAAGATATCACTATAATGTAAACATTTATACAAAAAGAACTATAATGATAATAGTATTTTACTAATATATACATTAAGATAAGAAGCAGCTATATGTATTTTCAAGTACAAAGAAAAAGAAAAAGTTAATTCTTGGAGAAAAATATTTCTTAGAGTTAGTTCTATACATTTGATTAAAAACTTGCTGGAACTAAAATAGCCCCCCCCTCAAAAAAATTAAAATTAAATGTATAGGCTCTAAAATTATAAATGGTTGTTTTGGTCTTGAAATAATTTCCTTGTGAAATGCTTTTGTAAGCACAATAAAGTTCTTATGCTTAACAGAAACGTAATGTATTCTTTTCTTCATACTTTATATTTGTAATCACACTCAGTACATATTAATAATTTTTTATCAACTGGTGTGTGCTTTGACAAATTTGTTTACTGTCTAGTATATTTTCGCATTGGAAATAAGGGCAGATTATTTATGTCCAATCTAGTGGCATGCATATCAACATAATTGTTGATTCATTATCTTATTTGAAACTTGGTTTATTTATTATTGTGATTAAGTGATAAAACAGATGTGTGACTGGTTTTTAATTAAAATATTTCACATTAAGCAAATAACTAGAAATGTACACATGTATGCCCACCTGAACTATAGTACTTTCATATGAGACACATTTATGCAAATTATTCCATCAAACGGGTATGAAAAATCCTCCTCATACTATATTATTTCATTTTTAGCCTTAAGAAGACTGTATGTAACTGTTTATAAATATATTTAATTTTCTTTCAGTTTAAAAATCTTTCTGAATTTTTAATAAGACATTCTACCATATTAAGTTTTATTCTGCATGGGATAAGCATATCAGGGGGAAATATTTCCTGCTAAGTTTTGGATGATGAGCACTCTGCAGCAGCCCTGTGAGATGACCTTCTTTTAAAATATTCTAGTATGACCACCAGTATTTCTTGAGCATGAATAAATATTGGAATGAAATATCATTTCTTGAAGATGATCATCTCCATAGAAAATCAAAATAGGCTGAAATCTTTAGTACTTATCTGAGCAAGAGGTCACTGTATTAATTTAAAGCATTTTTATCTTTTAAATTACTTTTCTGAAATCTATTCAGATATATTTATCTCAATTTATAATTTGCAATCGGCATATTATTTCTGCCAGTATTTCAGCATTATGAGTAATCATTTAGCTTCAAGGGCTTCTTAAAAATAATTATTTAAAAATTTTAGGTCATGCTGTGGTTATCGTTTTTGACAGACCTGTCAACTTGTGCAACTTGCAATATTGCTCACAGATTTTAAATTCAGAAACATTAACCAGACTAGGAGAAGGAGCTGATTGTCAATGGGCTACAAAACAACAGCTAATAATTACTGTTCAAGATCCTATCCAGGGTGAGTTCCAGCAATTTTGACACTTTAATGGTATTTTTATATGAAGTAATATGTTTTAAAATTATGATATTCAGATTATGTAAGCAGCTTTTCTTGCAGAAAATCCATTTCGGGTGACATTTAAGAAAGGTGTACTTAAACAAGATGGTGAGAGATATGCTCTTCCTAAAAATGACAGCCTGGTAAGTAAAAGAGAAAAAAAATTAATTTAATTGATAATTAAGTTAAGCATTTGTAGGTTTCCTTGTAAAATGCATGTTCAAAATCAGTTTTATCCATTTGTTTTAAAATGAAATTAATTATATTTGAAACAGCTGTATAGTCATGTCAGGATTCTGAAATTTTTATATCATAATTACATTTAGTGAATGTATTTTGCCAGTTTACAAAGTCTGCTCAGAAAAAAAAAATGGGCTTTTTACTTCCTTGTATGAAGTAAAAAGAAAGTATTGTAATCGCGAAAAGATTCAGGCAGCATATTTCAACGAAAATATCAATTTTGACTGCAATCGAATGCAATTTAACTATGTTTTTGCGGGATATCTGTACGTAAGGACAGAATAAAATACTCTTTTCCTTCAACAAAATTATAAAACTGCTTTAAAATGAATTCTGAAGAGAATTTTTCGTGGCGTTTGTACAAACGTATGTACGAACGTACGTACGTATCTCACATAACTCAAAAACTAGTAGCCTCAGAACGTCGAAATTTTGTATATAGGACTGCTATAACATATAGATGTGCACTTCATATTTTGGTTGCAATCGGCCGCACCAAACGTATATAAATGTATTTATATATATATATATATATATCCACTCTGTTACCCGGCTCAGTGATCTCAGTTTCTTTACTCTTATATGTTTGTAAATTGTACATTTTTGCTTTAAAAATGATTGAATTATGTTGTTCTTATCTTTCAGTTAAGGTTTTTATGCCTTTAGTAAATCTGTATGCAATATTTTTAGAATTATCAACAATTTTAAAGTTGTTTAAGTGACGCTAAGCCTAATAATATTTTTGATGGCGGCCATTGCTTGTTTACATTTGAAACAGCAGAGTAGTGGATTTGTTGCCAATCTAGAGAAACGTAGCTTCACAACAACAAAGCTAACACCTTCATTTATTATTGCGAACTAAATCATGCTTAACCCCTTCGCGCCGACTGTCACATCTACATGCCAGCAACGAACACACTCACTTCCCAGCTGACACGCAGGCGTGCCAGAGCATTTTCCCGTTCAACCCCGACTGTCACGTATTTGTGCCAGTGTCCTGGAATGTTTTAAAAACTATAATTTCTGCCACAAGATGGCACTGTATGTCCATATGGTTTCAGATACATGTACATTAGATCTTCTACTCGAAATGAGAGAAGCATGACTCACATACACGTGTTTTTGATTATATAAACAAAAGAGGAAATAAATGTTTCCGAATTGGCGTGATTTATGACGTCTCTTTAAATTCGCATGTGGTAGTTGTTTATTAAGTTTTATTTTCGCTAAAGCTTTGGGTATTTCGGTTTATATATTGATCGTTTTTTTATGTCTCCATCATTAGCGAACAAACTCTTCGCACAACAAACAAATACATGTGGGACTGTAATGAAGAGAAGGAAAGGAATGCTTGAAAATTTTCCGCCGCCCAAAATGACAATCGGTGAGATGTTAGTTTTGCAGAAAAAGAACTTAAACTTAACTGCTTTCAAAGATAGATGAGAAGTGCTAATGATATCAACTATGCATGATGCAAAAATGTGTGATACTGGTAAATATGATCGAGCAACATCTAATACTATAATGAAGCCAGAGTGTATCATAGAATACAACAAAAATATGGGAGGAGTAGATTTAAGCGATTCCGTCATTTTTCAGTACCCATCTTTCAGAAAAATTGTTAAATGGTATAAGAAGCTTTTCTTCAATATCATGGATATGGCTGTATTTAATGCTAATACTCTTTTCAACAAAAAAAGTAAAAAAAATCTTCCTCTCCTGAATTATCGGCTTAATTTAGTTAAATTATTTATCGGTATTCCTCTAAAAGCACCAATGTTAATATCACACCAAGATCAGCAGAATCATTAAATCTACCCAGATTAACTGAAAGATATTTTCCAAAACTTTGTTCAGAAGAGACTGATAAGAAAATGAGATGACGATGCTTCGTTTGTTCACATTCCCAGAAAAATCCTCCAAAACGGCAAATGAGTTATTAAGAGTGCAAGGAATGTAGCGTAGGACTGTGTGTAGATCCCTGTTTTCAAATTTTTCATACGAAAAGAGAATTTTAAGTAATATATTTAGTTTTCAGATGTATAATGTTAAAAGTCATAAAATGGTGAGTAATGAAAATAAAATGTGTAAAATATGCATTTAAACAAGAAATAAGGTAATTAAAGTATACAGTGTCTCAAAAAAGTGATGGGACACTTGTGCTTTACAAAAGGAAACTGCAATAAAATAAATTTAAAAAACGTGTAAAATTTTTTGTGGGTGTGTTTCATACTTAAATTTAGTAACAATTATTACATAACATACATTTTCTCAAAATATTAAAATATTAATTTAATAAAAATACAATTGTTTAGAACGGAGCAGAAAATGGCTCACTTAAGTGATGGGACACTACGTACTATGCAACAAAAATCGTCTGAAGTAAGCAATAAAATATCTTTTGGGGTATTTATTTTACTCAAAAGCAATTGCCAATAATTTATAAAATCGTCTGCAGTCTTTCTCTCTCTCCAGTTTGTTTTGTTTTGGAATTTTTGTGTTTTTTTTTAGCTCTGTGCAGCCATGAATGCTAAACGAAAAGAAACTTTGCCTGGAATTCGAAAATTAGTTATTAATTTGCATATTGTACGTGGAAATTCTATTAGAGAAAACTGCTGAAACAGTTAACCTGAGTCATTCAACAGTTTTCAATATCATTAAACGATATAAAAAGAATCATATGATTCAGGATAAAAGAAGACCTGGCCAACCATCAAAGCTATCCAATGGAATAAAGCGAATTATCGTTCGAAATATTAAAAAAAAAATCCAAGAATGAGTGCTCCTAAAGTTGCAGCTGATTTACAAGCATTATATGGAGTAATTGTTAATCCTGAGACTATTGGAAGAGTAATTCGATCTGCTGGATATCACGGTAGAGCAGCCAGGAAAAAATTCTTCGTGAGTGAAAAGAATAGAAAACTCAGACTGGCTTTCGCAAAATTCAACATAAATAAGAAATCTGATTACTGGAATGAAGTTATATTTGTTAATGAGAGTAAATTTAATATATTTGGTTCTGACGGTAGAATATTGATGTGGAGAAAACCCAGGGAAGAATTTCGCAAACAGAACTTGGTGGCAACAGTAAAACATGATGGAGGAGGAGTTATGGTATGGGGGTGTATGTCGTCTGCTGGAGTTGGTAATCTTGTATTGACAGTTTTTATTGACATTTATTTATGATTTAATGATTTATTTGATTTTATTGACAGTCTAATGAATCAGGACAAGTATATTGACATTTTAAATCAAAATTTGAAATCTTCAGCACGAAAATTGAACCTTCATAACGATTTTAAATTCTACCAGGACAATGACCCCAAGCACAGTGCTTTGAACGTTAGACTCTGGCTGCTGTATAACTGTCCTGAAATAATAAAAACACCCCCACAATCTTCATAATTAAATCCCATAGAGAATATTTGGCAAGAATTGGAATCAAGAATTCACAAACACACCATTTCTTCAAAACAACAATTAAAATCGGTGCTTCAAGAAGAATGGGGTAAAATCACTCCAGAAATCACAAAAAATTAGTCAAATCCATCCCAAGAAGATTAATTCACATTTTAAAAGTAAAAGGAAATCCCAAAAAATATTAAAACCTTTTAAAAGTAAAATTTTTGGATAAATATTTGATGGAAAAGTAAATGCCCCATCACTTACGTGAGTATCCAATCACTTATGTGAGCCATTTTCTTGCTCCGTTCTAAACAATTGTATTTTTATTAAATTAATATTTTAATATTTTGACAAAATGTATGTTATGTAATAATTGTTACTAAATTTAAGTATGAAACACACCCACAAAAAATTGCACATGTTTTTTAAATTTATTTTATTGCAGTTTCCTTTTGTAAAGCACAAGTGTCCCATCACTTTTTTGAGACACTGTATGTATAAAAATATCTATAAAGCATAAGCCATTTAAATACTCTATAGAGCATTATTAAACAATGTGTTGATACTTCGGAAATTTCATGGATTTAGGCTTAATAGCAAAAAAGCCCCCGGCCCTGGACAGACGCTCGTGTGAGACACTGCCGGCCTCTGCGATAAGCGCGCGTTTGCGCTACCCCGCGCGAAGGGGTTACTCCTTTCTGGAATTTTTTCGAAGAAATAAGTGTTTAAGATTTACTTCATAATTTTTAATACAGATATTTTGAGTTTTTATGTATTTTCGCCTTGTCGCGATGTGAGAACTGAATTAATTGAATGAGAAATACTCAATCGTCTGTGAAAAACTGTTTTTTTGTTTTGTTTGCTTAATTTCTTTTATACATCTTTCTAGCTTTATTATAGTATTTGAATAGAACATGTGGCAACGATTAGATAATTCTTTAAATGATATCAATTTTGTGCATTCTGAGTTACAGAATATGAGCGAAATATAATACTGTTAAGTGAACCTAGTGCCAGAGTGTCGCTATGGTAAACAAATTGAGTGAATTTTAAAGAATGTGTTTATTCTATTGTGGTTTATGCGCTGTCGTCGAAGTAGATTTAATTCAATCCAATAAGTTTAAATGAAATGCAAGAAAAAATGCGTATAATTTAATAATCCATACAAGGAGGTCATGTGGTGTACACATCAGATTTTTTATATAGCATGTTTATAAGCCAATAGTCGGATAGTGTTTGTATGCAACATAAGTTAGCTTTAGATTCTTACTTGATCACACATTATTCATTACTCATTAGAGTACATTCAACTAAGGAAACTTTATTTTCCCATGTTCAGTTATTAAGAACCTTGAAATGCAGAGCGCTTGCATGAAATTATATATATAAATTTAACTTTCGCTGAGTCTTTTCTGATATTTCAGTAAATTCTGGAAGAGATTTACTTGTGTCATAAGTTATTATATAAACAATGCCAAAATTTCAAATAGAGCAAAATATCTACAGTTACATATCCAAAAATTAGGCAGTCTTCCTGGTGAGTGATGATCACATTTGACTTGTGAAACTTTTGTCATGCTGTTGATGAAATTATTGCAAAATTAGATATTAATCAAATATCAAATCTCATAATTTTATTAAAACAATTGTATAAGCATCATATTGTTGAAAAATTCCAGTTATATTTCTTGATGTTTAAAAATAAGTCAGACATGCCACTGTTAAGTAAAAACTATTAGTCCAAAAGCCACTGAAGTAATATATCATAATAGTTAGTGAAATATGTGTATCTACATGCAAGATCAATACAAAAGTACTGTCATCATGGCAAGCAATTAAGTCATATCTGTGGGCAAAACATTCATTGGTATCGATAAAAAAAATAAAGTGATACTGATTCTCCTTGGGGAAAGCATTATTTACCATCATTTTCTCTTTTTCTGAGGCAGCTAAGTTATAATATCTATTCTTATTCAGAAAGAATATATGATGAAATCAGACCAAAGAGTGGCAAATTAAATCTAGAATGAAGGATTATGAATGAGATAGTAGTCATATCAGCAACTTGAGATTTGCTTGGAGTTTACTTTTCATTGCCAAAGCTAAAATTTCAGAAGTTATCAAAGAGAGAGAGGGAAACTGAATACAGAATTTATGGATTATTCCATGGGGAAATTTCCAAAAATCTGAAATGAAAGAAATACTTTGAAAGAAGACAGGATCAATTAAGTTACAAACATGTAAATAAATATTGGGTTATCTAAAATATACTTATATTAAGTCTTTTGCTCATGAGATAGCATTAGTGTCCCAGATATCGGGGTATAGACGAAATGTCATTTGATACCTGGCATTTAAAGCTAGCAGATGTTCAAAAAAAATTGGAATTCTTACCCTCAGATGTAAAGTATTGTGCCATGAAGATGAATAAACTTTCTATTAAACTGTACTACATTGTACAATTTATTTTGATAAAGGCACAATACATTGCAGTGTGTGAAGAAATTTGTGCTGTTTATGGCGCAAGGTACATTATCAAAAGCAATAGCCAACAGATGATTATTTGCTTTCATTTTAGAAATTCTGATGCTCGAGATGTTCCTTTGATGCTGAAGATGATCTTTCCAAGATGCTTCTTGATGTTTGGTGGAAGCTCCTTCATGAACTGCTGACACCAGGCAGAATGATTAGATGTGGACCTGTGCTGTTGGCAGTTATAGTGATTGGTCCTAGCAGTTCAAAAGAAATGGCTGGAACTCGTCAACAGGAAGAGTGTCGTATACCACATTGACAGCACCAGATTGCATATATTTTTAATGACCCATTAGAAATTAAGAGAACATTGCTAGGAATTTTTAATTTATTTACCGTATAGGCTAACCTAGCACCATCAGGCTGTCATTTTTTCAGTCTGTACTGAACTTCCTAAATGATGTTAAGTTAGTTTCAATAGAGGTCTATAAAAACCAGACACAGTTTTCTGACCGGAAACCACAGATTATGGCAACAGCATTATTGTGTTTCCAGAAAAATGATGGACAGTCATAAAATAAAATGGTGCATATAAGGTTTCATCATATTAATATCTCCAATAACAATAAATGTATTCTCAGTTTTGACCTTCAAAGTTTTGACTCAAGAAAAGTTCCTCTGAACTCTTTACTTTTAAAGTATTAAGGGTTTTTTTTTTTTTTTTTTTTTTTTTTTTTTTTTTTGGTGTGTGTGTGTGTGTGTGTGTGTGGTGGTGGTGGTGGTGGTGGTGGGGAAACCTTGTGTAAATGTATATCTGGTAAAACTATTTTTCTTTCTTAAGCATTTGCATCCTCAAGAACTTTGCTTTTCAATTTGTTGCCAGAAAGAGAAAATATAGCAGTGCATTTTTCCTTACAGACAATTGATGCATGGTACCCTCAACCCGTGAGCAGTGCTCAAGTTGCTATTAGTGGGCCATCTACTGTACCATACTGTGGTTTTTTTACTTTAGTGGGCCATTTCAGTTCACCAAAAGGAGATGCTGCTTATTATTGGACTGCTTACCGTGCTGATAACCGTCCTATAGATACTGAAATTGCTGATGCTTTACTACGTAAAGAAAAGTTTTTATTAAATTTATATCCAAATTCTTTACATGTTTACAAAATATCCAATAATTGCATGAAAATAATTATTTGTATTACTCTAACAAATATATATATATATATTGGATAGCATGCTGATTTTTAAGCAAGACATTTTTTAACTTATTATTCTTTAACTTATTATAAAATTATTCATTTTCAATTTGGTAATAAATTGAATCAAAAAAATTCCTTAAAATTTTGCAGTAATTTCATGTAGACTAAGAATTTTAAAGTAAGGGTCTTAACCAATGATTGCCTAATAAATCTTTTCTGTAGTATAAAACAACCAGGTTACTAGTGTAAACCAGGTTACTAGTTTTTGATTTATTAATTTTTTAAATATGCACATTTTTTTTATTTATTTTGCATAGTTATGGCTAATATCCATTCTTATAACTAATTTATATTTTATGTGTTCCCTGCTGAGTATTAAAATTATTGATTTTCCATTTAAGTCATGAGTCAACAGCTCTTTACTTTTTTTAATTGGCTTATAAGTTTCTTCTTCATTCTAAATCAGTTATTACAATTTAAGTTTTTGGAATAGTTTTTTTTTTATTTTATTTATATATTTCTTCTCTAAACCAGACATTAGGTCAGCTTCTCTCACACTGAATGCCTCTCTGTTGGAAGTTGATTTGAATTATACATTCATTCTAACAGCTGAACATCCAGTGAATGAAAAGTATGAAGCGAGGCATGATGTATGCCGGAAGTCATATGCAGGACCTTTTGTAACTGCATTTTCTGATGTAATGACAGAATCATCTATCAGTGTTGATCAAAGGTTAATCTTTTTTTCTGATATGTTACTAAAACTTCATGGTAACTATTTCTTGAAATTTTCATTCATTATATTCATAATTATATTTACAGTATTTATTGCATATTTTCAATGATGCAACTGAACTCTAAGCTTGACTTAATTTTTCATTTACTCTGTTAATTATGTTTTGATTTTAATTCATGGAAATATTAACAAGAGAGATTTAGATTTTTTCCACTGTCATTTTTTTAATTATATATGAATTATAATATATTTTTAAATAGTCAGAGTTGTCTTAAATGTAAAAATTTTTAAATTCTAACTAAAGTCAAGAAAAATCTGAGCACTGTGTTTATTTATTTATTTATTGTTCCCATTGCTATTACCATGAAGCTTTATATTGCCAGTACACAGATGATTGATTTAATAAATTCTTTTACAGAATTCATAACAAAAGATTGTTCTAAACATATTTTACTGAAGTTTTATAAATCAGATAAAATAGCTATTGTATATATATTTTTTAAAAAGTATTCTGCTCGTATAAATAGAATAAATAGAAGTTTAATAGAATAAATACAGTATAAATAGAATAAATACAGGTATAAATAGAAGTTTTTATACAGTGTTTTTATAGGCCTAGATATAAAGCATGTACTAGACAAACAATAAGCTGATCAAAGCAAATAAAAGCCTATAAGATTTTGTTCAAATGTGAAAGAACTGGCTATGAAGCTCATCACTGTAACAAATATATATCAGAATTTGTCATGAAGCTCATCACTGTAACAAATATATATCAGAATTTGTCTATTTCATTGCCAATAAACATTAAGATTTTTTTAATTTGTTTCTTTTGAAAAATAAGTTATAGTAAATTTCTGAAAAATATAAACTAGGAATTATGTTGATTTTATTTCAGGAGTTATTTATTGCACTTAATAATGTCCAAAAAGTTTTTTTTCATTCCTGAAATTATTCATGCAGATGTGATATGAATATATAACTTTAAACTGCTTTTGAAATGTGTCATTTATATGGTTTTGTTTCTTCCATATGGGCAGAGTGACTCTACAAGCTGATGTGACCATTCCTGAATGCAGCACTGAGACAGAAGTTCTTCATGTAATGTGGTCTGTTAACAATCCCAAAGTAAAATTTGATTTTAAAAGTAGAGATTCACAAATGTATCGTGTTGAACCCTTCACATTACCAGGTAGGTTTGTAAAAGGAAACTCCCCCCCCTTCATTGATTTAGAAAAAAGTTTGCTATAGCAAATATTTGAAATTTTCTATAATATTTACAGAAAATACTGAAGTTATCTTTACTGCTCATGCATACTTTGCAAATTTTCTGAATGTTACTACTTCAAGAGTTGTCCTCAGAGTTGAGCCATTGAAATTAAAAGCTATGATAAAAGGTTAATTTCCTTAATTCCTCCCTTTTTAACTACTGATCTTTATTAATTTAAATTTTATCAAATATTGTTTCTAATTTTAAATATCTGCATTTAGGGGCAGGGAAACGAGTAGTGGGAAATAAAGATGGCTTTCTGGTCCTTGAAAGTGAAGTCATAAATGTGGGTATCCCTCTGATTTATCAATGGAAGTGTTATGAGCAGGTAAGTGTCCTTTTATATATACATATGTAGGAATAATGCAAGTTCAAAATGCAATTTTGAATTTTTTTCAATAATTTTAATGTGATGCAAAATTACAAGAATGGTAAAATATTAAATTATAATGCAATATAAATTTAATTAAAATATAATACATTTTAATAAGAGTATTGTGAGGTTTCTTGAGAAGCAGCAAATTCACCAAAATGAGTTTTCAACTATATAGCCTCAGAAATTTGCGTATGTGTTGTACGTTTTTTATCAAAAAAAAAAGGGGGGGACAAAATATATAAAAATACACATGTATCGAGAAATCCATGATCAGTAATAATAAATTTTGTTAATCTTGCTGTGGGCCATAATAAAGGCTCTTGCAGACTTTATGCAACCAATAAATTTGTGACTGGCCGTCATTGTTTAAGATCATATCTCTTATATAGCTGTTAAAAGGGTATGGCATCCATCATCTTCATTAAATAACTAAAATTTAAATTATCTTTCAGCCATTTTATATTGACTCTGTTTCTTATCTTGATAAATTACATTTCTTAATACTTTATTTTGTTTGATTTGTATGTTGAAATGTGGTATCTATTATGCTTTGACTTTTCTTGTGATCAAAAAATTTAGTGGAATTTGTTTATACCTTATTTTTGCTAAAAATATTCACTGGGAAATTAGTGACAATTGCATGAGTTAAAAGAGATGACAGAACACATTCTAACAGGTTTGACACTTTGTTATACTATAATTATATATTTGGATGTTAATGATGTAACCAGATAGAGAATATTTCAAAATGAATGCATTTTTAGATTTTTTCCCTAATTATTTGGAAAGTTGGTGGAATTTAGAATTTTTGAAAATTTGAAACCAAAAGTTTTACATTGTAACTTATCTGACTGTGTATGCTGGATTTGTATAAGATATGAAAAAGCAATATTAAAGCTCTTAACAGAAAGTATGTTATCTTGGAAAGCTCAGTGCAGAGCTATGGTTAAAAAGCATGACTTCCAACTAGGGTATAGTAAACACTGTTAATAATCTTAATTAAAAAGGTTAAAATCTGTGTAATTAATATTTTCTACTTTCCATATTTAAACTTCTAACAAGTGTCAAATTTTTATAAAACATTTAATATCATTAGAAATAGTTCCATGATTTCTTAAGAATTATGCATGTAACAACTTAAACATGTTTTTTACAGTAGGTTTTTTTTTAAATTTTCTTATTACATGATAGACCATGAATTTCTAGTAAAATGAAATCTTTTATCATACCTTTCAAAATAGTTTAGCTTAAGGGCATCAATATCAGCAATTTAAAATTTTTGAATTAATTCATGTTAATTAATACATTTAAATGTTGTCATCATCCATTTCTTTTCTTGATATGTCTGCCAAGCTCCCAAACAACTTCTCTAGAATTATAGTAGTACTTTAAAATACTATACTTTAAAAAAGTATTCTATGCGTTAAAAAATTGTAAATTAAAAGATTTATTCTATGGGTATTTGTAGATGACTTAATTTTTAGATGAATCGTATATGATTTCATTATCCAATTTATTTTTCAAAAAAAGTTTTAGTGCATCTACAAACTCAAGGCGATATTAAAATAGATCATTTAAAAATATAATAACTGTCTTAAAATAATTAGTTTCTTATGGTATTTTAAATGTGTTGTTTCTAGTGTACTTTATAGATATAACACTTGCTATGGGCCTTATTATACAAAAATATATTTGTATTTTTGCAGGTCATCTTGTATAAAGTTTGTTCTTTATATTCACTAAGCTGTTTGAGATATCTTAACTTAGTAAAATGTATTAATTTATTATTATTTTAGATATTATATTTATAGTGTTCATTTTTCAGAATCTTCCTATATGTTATAATTATAAGAGAAATTCGACAGAACCTTTATTACTTCCAAGACAACTTCAAAACAAACCTAAGCTGAAAATACCATGTGACAGTTTAAAAGCTGGTCAGACTCTCACTTTCGAGTTGCAAGTTTTCAATGCTAATAATCGGTATCAGTATAGCCCAGTTGCCTCTACTATCATTGTTGTTGAAGATAAAAATATACCCCAGGTTATAATACTTCACTTCCTTGCTTTAAGTATAAATTAATGTTTGTTCTTTTGCTTTTATTTTTAATTCAACATTCAATATAATTTTATGCTTCTTTATTTACTAATACAATCAAGAACTTCATAATTATTTTCTCAATATGTATTTATTTTTGTTCTATGAATGCATGACTTAGAAAATGTAACAATATAATGAAAGTGTGTATGCAAGAAAAATTAATTACACAAAATGTTAAAAAAAAAAAGGTGACTATACTTCCTTAAATATTTGTCATAGATATATGCAGCAGAAATCTGATTATCCGAGCTAATGTTAACTGTAACTGAGATAAGCAAATCTCGGATAATACAAGCTGATACAAAGAAAATTTTAACAATGCAGTATTATTGTATGTACTAGAGTTTATTAATATACAGGATTCATGCAGGTACGTAGTGATATAAAACATATATGCACATTCAAATATACCTGTCATATTCAGTACACACATAATACTGAATATGATATGTAATACAAACTCGAAAACATGAACCTGTAATACAAATGACAGGCTACACAATATATATATCATACGTTAAAAAAAATAGTAATAGCCTTCTGTTTCATTGTGCTGCATCCTTTTTTTTTTTCACTGCATAGCATAGACATTGCAACATCATAATGTCAGCTGGTGATGTATCTTATTGCTATTCAGCAAAGAGCAGTGATCGTTTTATCACATTCAAGCTATCTGTATGACTGATCTTGGTTTGAAGAATTTCCCTGCCTTCATCATTGGAACTTTCATTTTTGCCAGTCATTCACAATAGCATCTTCAAAGAGTTCAGTTTGTTCATCATTCTTGCATCTGCTCATTCACATCATCATTTGTTATTGCCTCTGTAACTTGTACCTGGTTTTAAAACAGCCACTTCTTCATCATCTGCTTCTTGAGTTTGTATAATCATCATTTGGAAAAACACTTTTCCAGCTTTTTGGAATGGTAAATTGTTTCATGTCATTCAATGATTCTCCCAGCCAAAAAATGACATCTTTCAGATTAAAATTTTTAAGCTTTTTCCAGTGTTGTTTTCTGGATCTTCTAAGAAATATTTCTCCAAAAGCTGAATCGGGAATATAATGTTAGTAGGCATGAGGTAAAAAAAACAGCCCAGTTGGTGTTTGTCAAGATGACTGGAGGCAGTGTCCAAAATTAAGATCGCTTTTTGGGCAAATTATTTTCATCAAACACTTGCTCGACACTTGGCATAGACTCTTTGTGGAACCATGATTTGAATATTTTTGTATCTATCCAAGCACTTTTTTGGTTTGTGTACTTTACATTACTAATTTTCAACATTCACATTTTTAAATGCCCTTTAGTTTTCTGGTTTTACCTATTAATTTTGTAGAAATATTCAAAAACAAATTTGCTCATTTAGATCACGTATTTGTGCCAAATGCTCAACAGACTGAAAATTTTGCCAATTTTAGTAATAAACTCCAAAATAAAGCTTACATATTTTTATATTTATCAGCTGTATGGTAGATAAAGCAGCAGCTGTTATTAACTTTCTGTTTTGTGCAATAAAACTATTCATTGCTAATAAAGTCACAGAGAACAGCTAATTTTGTATATATGTAATATAAAAGCACAAGGAAATGCCAGAGCAGTGTCGATGCGACCTTAGATCCATATTGAAGAAGAGTTTTGATTGTGTAGTGTCTAAAGAAATTTGCAGTCGAAGGCAGTTTTAATTTCATTTTTATTTGCAATTGATGTTTGTGGCCACAATCACATGGCACTCTAGTCGTGCCTTTCCACAGAAGATTTACATTTTTGATATTGAGATAGCAAGCAAGCCAGCGAAATTACATCTTAGCACAGTAGAGAGAAAAAGCTGAAGTGCGTAGTTATGCAAGATGGAAGCATGCAAAGAGAAAAATTTTGGTTTGCGATTTGGTGATTGGTCAAGAGGCATCTGATCAATCACCAAATTTCAAATTTAAGATCGCATGATTAATTTGAATGATTCAGTTTATTTTTAGGACAGATAGATGAAGTTCCCAAATGAAATAGAAAATAAAAGAGGTTATAGCGAATTAAATTTAGAAGTTTGCTTACATATTTTTTATCTTACGTGTTTCCTCCTTTCAAAAACAAAAAGGCAGAGCAATAGAGAAGCCTTTTGGAAAAAAAAAAGCATTACAATAGCAAAACATGAGATATATAATTTTGAAACATACAAAATATAATATTAGCTTTTGAACAATAAAATAATACAGTCAAAAGTCGTTAATCCGGACTCGTGGGGATTTCGGCGATTCCGGATTATCGATTTTTCCGGATTATAGATCATCAGTTTAAATCTGGTAAGATGGCCTGCAGAAATTATAAAATAAAAAATATGAAACCGTAATTTATGAAATAAAGAACAATTATGATCTAAAGGGTATCAAAATTTACACAAAAAAGCTTAATATTTATTTGTTTACTTTATTAAACATTTCTTTCAATGTAAGTTGTTTAAGTTGCTTCGTTTTACGTGATACTACTTTCTCTTTAATTCTATAAACAGACATAATTTCTTGTTCAGCTACAAAGTTCCGCTTTTCAAGTCCTATAATTGCTGTGTCGAGAATACCAACTAATTTGTCAATCGAAATTTTTTCGTTTTCATTAACCTCTGTGTCACTTTCTTCACTATCGGAAGCGAATTATAATGACAAGGAATTTGATTTAAATCATATCAAAGACGGAGTACATCGAGATGAAATACTGCATTTAGTAAGGAATTATAAGCCAAATAAAATAAAAACATCTGCCCTGAAGATAAGGATAATGCTGACAGATCAACTTCCAAATCATTGCGTGCCGCGGCGTTTCCCCGCCGCTGAGCAGCGTGAATTTGATGAACAGATTCCAGAATGGTTAGATAAACAAAGACAAAGGATATGCCTTTATCCATTTTTTGCAGCAATTCCACTTTTTGTTTGATAGACATCAAAATATATCGCTTTGTAGATCCTTTGAGAGCTCCAGCATCGGAAATTCTATTTGACATAATCGAAAGTTCAAGCTTACTTTTATAAAATTGCTCTAACAGTCTGCAAAAAATAAATAAGCCGGATCCAATTCGAAGATTAAGGAACAACGCAATCTGCAACATTAACTGAAATAGATAATTAGTTAATTTTAGCTTATACCGTCTGTTATACATTAAACGCGCATGCGTAAACGTATTATGCGAAGCCGTAAAGGTCTTTCTGCGCATGCATCAAGGCGACGGTAGCTTTGAGGTCCGGATTATATATCACTCCGGATTATGGGTGTCCGAATTAACGACTTTTGACTGTAATATATAAAATTTTGAGTTCAATAATAATTTTTATAAAGTCCTATGAAGATTTGAGTGCAATTTATAAAAAGTTCTTGTTTCCGGAACATTCACATCACAATTTTGATACTCCAAGGAAGGATTTCCAAAAATTTTTGCATACCAGATCACAATTATAAAAATTTTATATACCCATTAATTATTATGAATGATCATAAATCTTAAAACTTTACACCAAACTAATTTTCACATTTATAAGTAATACTTATCATTTGGAAAGCATTGTTGAAATTATGGTTTTTACTTTTATTACAATTTAGACATTTTATACAAACTGGAAGAATCCACAGCGTTCTCCTAATACACACATCCAGCTATTTGGGTAAATCCACTTTAAACAGACTCATGTATTAAATTTTCATGAGTGGTTAGTGAACTGTGTTACAACATTCCATCATATTAAAAAAACATCACACTTCATTATATGAAAAAACAATAGTTCTATATAATGTGGTAGCCATCAAAGTTTATATTAGGTATATTACATGATGAGGGTAAAAGGAACAATTATGCAGAGATAAAACAAGCCTCTGTTTCTGAACCTGTTCTCCCTCGTACTTCATATTTAACATACAGTTATTGATAATTATAACAGTCATTTACCATAATTCCAAACAAATTTTAAAACAATTTACTCTTAATTAAATTCTAATATAAATTTTAATATGATTATTCAATTTCTTAAATCTTTGGTATTTACATATTAATTATAACAATATTTAATATTTACATTAATTAATTATTTCATTTATATTTCATATAGACATCATTCTCAAAATAATTATAAAATTCTTAATATTCAAATTTTTAAAGAATAATCTTAATTGCAAAATAATTTCAAAATTCTGATGTTGTTAACAAAATAATTCCAAGATTCTTAACATTAATTCAAAATTTTTGACGAAACTTATAATTACTAATAAAAATAAAATTTAAAAATCTTCCCTGAATAAAATCTTCAGAATGCTTATCCATTTTGATTTGATATTTTCGTAACACAGTGCGATGAATTATTAAAAAAAAATATTGAATTAAAATCATTTTGTAAGAAAACACCACACTTTCAGATTTCAAAAGTATAACCAATTATTAAGTAATTGGTTATATCTATTATAATGATGCAGATGGAGAAAAACTCAAAACACTTTTTATCATGTAACATGAAAACACATTTTTGGAACATCGCCACTTAATTTTCTAGATGGAAAACAACTTGAATAAATTTAACGGAAGAATAAGTTTAGAACCGAAGAAATTAATCACACTTCATTACCACTTTTGATGACGTCGTAAATCATTTCCATACTTGTTGACGCACTGTATTTCGATGTTACATCAACCTTGGCCTGATTAGGAATTCAGATGACTATTTTCATTTTCATTTTATTCATTCGTTATCGATGTAAGATCAGTTGAAATAAACATTGAGGTTAGTAGCACATAATCCAATCCTGTATGACTAATTGAAATATTAAAAGCACAAGGAAAAGCCGCAGCAGTGTCGATGCATGATTAGATTAAGGTGACCAGAAATAATTTGTCCCGCAACGTTTTAAAGAAGTCCCGATTTTTGGAAGGACGACAAAATATATTCTTATGGCTAATATATACACTGTGCTCATTGAAAAAGAATCTTCGAAAATTTGGCTAAAGTTTGGACACAATCAAGTAGTTTTTTTTTCTCAAAATGCTGTAAAACTTATTGCAGGTGATGAAGTTTCGATAATTGAAGTAGCAAATGAAGTTAATAATTTAAAATTTCAGTGTAAGAGCAGTTAGAAAATAATTTTCTTCCGTTAACTTTCTGTAATGGTATAAACCAGATAAAAGAACAAGGTGCAATAAATTGTGCAGATATCATGAATTACATTAAAAAATTCTATAGTAACTGCATAGATTAATTAGAAGATTGGACGGTTCATTGCAATGACACTAAACATTTATTTTCATTGGGTTACATTAAAACAAGAACTTAATTGGAATGATGTGCAAAAACCATTCGATCATATTACTTCAAATTTCCCATATAGCAATATTTCCGATAATGATCTTTTTAATGAGGTACCATTATTAAAAAATATATTGATAAGGAAAAGGTTAAATCTTGGGCATCAGCAAAAATCACACTAGAGAATAAATAGTTAGAAATATTTCATTTTGAAACAAACCATGTTCCCTACATTAATGCACTAAAAATTTGGAATATGCTCTGTCCTTACCTGGAACTAATACTGCGACTGAACACATTTTTTTTTTAAGGTAAAATAAAGTATGGACATTAGAAAAATCACAATTAAGTGTTGACACTTTTAAAGCCATTTTATATGTGAAATATAATTCAGCAAATTATTGTGAAAAGCTTCATGACCTTTTAAACAACGACAGCAATTTAATAAAAAATGCCAAATAATAAAATAATACTATACATAATTTTTTAAAGTATAACATTTGTAAATTGTACTTAAGTTGAAATTTAAAAAAAATATTGAATACTATTTTTGCGTTCTATGAAAATTGTAGTTGCTCCATGTAGACCAAATTTTTAATCAAGAACCCCCCTTCTGGTTAATGGTGTCCCGCTTTACCAATGTTAAAATCTGGTCACCTTAGCTTAGCTCCATATTGAAGAAGAATTTTGATTGCGTATTATCTAAAGAACTTGGCAGTCGAAGGCAGTTTTAATTCCATTTTTATTTACAATTATGTTTGTGGCCACAATCACTTGACACTCTAGTCATGCCTTTCCACAGAAGATTTACATTTTTGATATTGAGATAGAAAGCAAGCCAGCGAAATTACATCTTAGCACAGTAGAGAACAAAAGCTGAAGTGCGTAGTTATGCAAGATGGAAGCACGCAAAGAGAAAAGTTTTGGTGATTGGTCAAGAGGCATCTGCATTAAGGATTATGTAAGATCGCGTGATTAATTTGAATGACGCAGTTTATTTTTAGGACAGATAGATGAAGTTCCCAAATGAAATAGAAAATAAAAGAGGTTATAGCGAATTAAATTTACTTTGTTTGCTTACACATTTTTTATCTTACATATATACGTTTGGAAACTAAAATAAACTAACTATGAATTCCATGTCAGTCTTTCTATTAAAATTCTAAATTCAGAAAAAAGGTTTCCATTATCTTTTTTCTTCCAAAGTGTATAATCTGGGCCAAGTTTGCCTAGACAAAATTTCAGCTAACTATACTTGAAATTTATATTCTAAGAAAACACTTTAATATTAATTAAATTTAATTAATTAAGATTTCATTAATTAAATTTAATTAATTAAGATTTCATTAATTAAATTAAATTAATTAAGATTTATTAATTCAATATTTCCTCTGGAACACAAGAAGCACAGTTACAAAACAGATGATTGAAAAAGATTACAGCCAACAACTTACATCTTTTTTGAAATCTTAACTCTTGTTGCCAATTTTAATGATGTGTATTTAAATATAAAATATTAAAAAAAAAAAAATAAATAAAAAAAAAAAAAAAAATAGCTTTTCATACTGCCCCTCCATTTCATGTAAACAGAATTGTCTGTTTTCATTTGCAGGCCGTTTTCGACAGGTATGGAACTTTTTGTATATAGTTTATTAAAGCTTCTGCTGTGTGGAGATTGTATAAAAAAATTAGAATTTACTATTATTATTATTTTTATTATCATGGAACGTCTTATGTCCTGTGCTGAAACTAAAAGTCTTTTATTTTGAGAAACCGTAGAAATATTTGCATGGAATAGTGTGTTATTGTGTCAGAGTGAATACTTAAAGAATAAAGACTTAGCCATTTTTCAAACACCCAGTTTAGCAAATAAGCCATATCGATAACTCCTGTAAATGTTCCACTAACTGAAAAAGAATTACTTTGCTTGCTACCACAAATCATGTACATTATCTTAATCAATCAATAAACAATTTATATAAGACATTGATTGCAATATTTAAATGAAACTAGACATAAAGATGTTGATCTCTGCAAACACTTTTTAATTGACGCATGAGTATTATCATTGTGATATTGTAATACCACTATGGAATAAAAAGAACTGACATTTGATAAATATCATTTCTTGTAGTAAAAACCACTGCTTGAATGAAAGAAAAGTAGTGAATATTCCATGGAGATTGGTGCTGACAAACAGAAAACAAAATAATGACACCAAAAGAATTAAATAAAAATTCAAAACAGTGTGTTATTGTGTCAGAGTGAATACTTAAAGAATAAAGACTTAGCCATTTTTCAAACACCCAGTTTACCAAATAAGCCATATCGATAACTCCTGTAAATGTTCCACTAACTGAAAAAGAATTACTTTGCTTGCTACCACAAATCATGTACATTATCTTAATCAATCAATAAACAATTTATATAAGACATTGATTGCAATATTTAAATGAAACTAGACATAAAGATGTTGATCTCTGCAAACGCTTTTTAATTGACGCATGAGTATTATCATTGTGATATTGTAATACCACTATGGAATAAAAAGAACTGACATTTGATAAATATCATTTCTTGTAGTAAAAACCACTGCTTGAATGAAAGAAAAGTAGTGAATATTCCATGGAGATTGGTGCTGACAAACAGAAAACAAAATAATGACACCAAAAGAATTAAATAAAAATTCAAAACAAAACAAGTTTAAATCTGTACCTTAATTATCACGATTACCAATTAAGTATATCTTATTATTTTAATTAATAGTATCCTTCAAATATATTAAATATATACCTTTACTTAAATTATTACATGCACTGTTTCATATTTCAGTACGCATTAATATCTGTACTGTTTCACGTTCCTACCCCTCCCCATGTCACAAAAGAGAAATTGTTTCTTAATTTTTGGAGGACAGTGTAAGTTAAGTTATAGTAGAGTGTCTGAGTCGTATAGATAATTTTTATTGGGCAATTTTTGAGCTGGCTTTCTTTTTATTTGCATTACATATTTGGGATAAGCAAAATCTCATAAGTTGCTATGCCTTGCCAGCAGAAGTTTAACGCTTCCGAAACAATAAATGGTAGCATATATTTTTCATTTGGCAACTGACAGTGTCAGTGTTTTGATACCAGTAATATTTTATATACGCTAAGTAGTAATGATGTTCTTCTGTTTTGCCTCGGTAATTTTTCTTTCCTTTAATTACATAAAAATTATATCTTAATGCAAAACCCTGGGAATTTATTTTCATATCATTTGATTATCAACACATCTGATGTTACACTACTGTTTTTAATTATTATAATTCCAAGCTTATAATTTAAATCTAGTTTTTCATGTCTTGAAATGGGAATATTTATACTTTTTAAATTCAACTGCATTTTGTATTATGACTAACACACTAGATGGAAATCCTTGTTTTTTTTCTTTTATTTCTGAAAATAATGTATTATGTTTTGATACATTACAGGACTGCAGTATCACTTTTAGATTAAAAAAAGAAGTCTGTCAGCAACTAGAAAATGCAGCCTGGAGTTTTATTACAAATGGTTTTCTTTCATTTTGAAGCTTATTCCTAAATTTAAAAAATAAGATTTACAAGCACCAGAAAAACACAGAAATGTATATTGTTTTTACTTTGTTAAAAATATTCCTCAATCAGTGAGGTATGCCCGCATATATGTGTGTATGTGGTTCACTTTCAAAAAATTTTAAAAATGGCATTCAAATTACTGCACATTTTCATGTGTTATGCATGCTATTTTTTTCAATTGTCTACATATCATCTTCATTTCTAAATAGAGAAAACAGTATAGTGTCAAAAATTATTCTCTGTGATTTCAGTTGTGTTTTTCATACAGGCTGTGTATGATTTTAAATATGCTATTATAAATGAGATCAATGAAAGTTCTCAGTCACAAAAAGTAAAAACTAAATGTTGCAGGTTACTATTGATTCAGTTGTTGCTGATGGCCCTGGTACCATTCAACGACATCCTACAACTGGAGCATATCCCATACCTGCTGGTCTACCTGTTGCTGTGTATGCTACTGTTAAAACTGTCAAATCCGCATTAAAAACAATCAAATGGGAAATTAAAGGTAGATAATTTTTATAATCTCTCTTCTTGATTCTTTCACATAATAACCTAATTCATGTTTTCTGCTAATTTGTATTACATTTCAAAGGTGTTTCCTTTTGCAATGTGGAAGCAGAATTTTTTTGTTCATCTGTTAATCTTTTGTTGGCATTTGCTACATGTATGTGGTGGATTCAAATCCATGCAAGAAGATGGATATCACGTGTGCATTCATTCATGCAGAGTATTTATGATTTTTTAAAAGTTGGCATTTTTTGCTCATTTCAATTATTGGTGCCACTGCACCAATTATAATTTCCCCAGAGTCACTGAGTCACTGACATTGAATTTTTATCAGTATGAAATTGAAGAAAAAAGGTTTAAAATTATCAGTTCCTTATTTCTTTGAGCTTCATAAAAATTATATATATACAGGGTGTGAATCAGAAGTTTCAAGACTGGTTCATTTCTGAGTAGGGAAGCGCGTGCGGACTGGCTCCTCCGGGTGGGGGAAGTAGTGGGAAGTCTCAGGGAACGAACTGACGCTGCGGCAGTTGCCTCCGAAACCCTGGAGAATGCTCATCGCTTGCAACATGATTGTGTGTCATAGACCTCGGTCGAAAAGTGGGAGAGGGGAAAATGGAGCAGCGCTTGGAGCAACGTAATGCGATTAAGTTTTACGTGCGATTGAACAAAACTGCCATGGAGACACTCAGTATGATTTAAGAGGAAGGAAGAAGTCATGTCTCGTGCAATGGTTTTCATGTGGCATAAACGTTTCAAAGATGAATGCGGGAATGTTGAAGATGACGACCGCTCTGGGAGGCCATCATCAAGCTGAACGGATCAAAATGTGGAGAGAGTGCAGGAACTTTTAAACAATGACCATCGTCTTAGTACTAGATTAATTGTCGAAGAATTGAGACTCAGTCAGAGTACGGTGTGGAGGATTGTGATGGAGAATTTGATGATGCGAAAAAAGTGTGTGCCAAACTGGTGCCAAAAGTTTTGTCGGTGGATCAGGAGAAACAGCACGACTGTTTGCCAGGAAATGCTCTAATGGTTGAATGGTGATCTGAACCTTCTGGAGAAAGTGGTTACTGGTGATGAGACCTGGTTCTATGAGTACGATCCTGAGTCAAAGCATCAAAGCTCAGAGTGGCACACTGCTTCCTCGCTGAAGCCCAAGAAAACTCGCATGAGCAAGTCGCGTGTAACTTGCATGCTAGTTTTTTTTTTTTTTTTTTTTTATGGTAAAGGAGTGATTTACATTGGAGTTGTCCGCCACTTGAGGGTTGAGTCCGCCTGGCGATCAAGGGCGATTGGATTTTCCACCATGACAATGTGTCCGCTCACATGCCGCGCGTTGCCGCCGAAGTTTTGATCAAGTTCAATGTGACAACACTGCCGCAGCCACCCTAGAGCCCCGACTTGGCTCCAAATGACTTTTTCCTCTTCCCTCGAATCAAGATAGGCCTAAAATGGAAGCGATTCGACTCCATGGACATCATCCAGCAGGCTTCGACGAAAGCCCTTGACAGCATGATGTCCTTCCAGAAGAGCTACGAACAGTGGAAGACACGCTGGCAGCACTGTGTTTATGCTGAAGGATCATATTTTGAAGAATTTTAGTCTGCTGTACTTAAATGTCCAATAAATTTCTTGTTCTGAGGTAAGTCTTGAAACTTTTGAATCACACCCTGTATTTTTATTAGAAATTTGGTTTTAAAAATAGTAGTTTTCATTAAGCCATAATGATGTCACGGAAATGACCTTAATACATTGAATTATTATTTGTTCTCCTTTTTATGTTCTTATATAAATTTTATTATGTACTATGTTTAAGATTATTTTAAATTATTAATTGTTCTACTTCCCATACGCTTGTATTAGTTTAAGTATGTGCTATTTTAATAGGTTATTCTACATCGTTCACATATACTTCTATTAATGGGAAGACAATACTTTCTCTTGAAGAAGGTAAATATTTCTGTTTTAATACAAAGAATGTATTTGTTACATTATATTAACTTAAATGACCTTCTGCTTTTATTTTCTTAAAAATATATAAATTTTAAATGCTAATTTTGTTCGTACAAAATTAATGATTTTACATGGTGATATTTTTAATCTATTGATACTTAGCTTTTGCAGTTTAACACTAAATAAACAGTCTAAGAAATCTGTATTTATTAAATATAAACAGAATACAGAATTATTTGTAATATTTTGATTGGTTGCATCATCAAATTTTAGTACTTTTCCGTTTTGCCGGCGCAGGCGATAAAGTTGCCATTAATGGCACAACTAATGCCAAACGGAATATTCTCGATGGTAGCCTTTTACGCCTCATTTTCAAAACAAGTCACAGCCATTTGTTATCAGATTGATCCTTCTTTCAATACTGGCATACAATTACATAGAATTTTTACTGGATAGTTCAATTTTGTGCCCTAAATCCATTCGCAGTAATTAAGTCAATTAGGATGCAATTACACCGCTTACCTGAAAGCCAAAAGCGAAAATATAGAAAAGGCAAAGTCAAGGGTTAAAGTCATCAATTCTAATGAGAATGCATTAGCGAAGTAAAGCACTGCGGTTTTACATAATTTCTGAGTGTAGCGTAGCTTACGTGAGATGAGATCACTTGGGGTCACGTGATATGAACCGTCGAATTAGGATGTTGAACCATAAAAACATAGTAAATTCTTAAATTAATGTCTTTTTACAAATTTATTGTCTTTATTTATGGCTTTTTATAAAATTTTAAGCGATATTAAAATGTTTATGCCTTCAAAATAAAAAATTCTTAAGAACTAACATTTGTTAACACTTTTTATGTGTATACTGTATGTTGACGAGATTTACGCCGATGAAACAGAAAAGTAGCCAAATTTTTATCTCATAATTCATGATATGTCATTTAGTATACAAATGCAAGAAACATCCACATTTGGCTTTTAAAGGGGCAGCTGTGCTTGCTTGCCAAAATTGAAGAACCTAATCCTTCAATCTTTATTGTAAAAATTTTGTATGTTCTCAAAGGCTTATATTGCACACTTTAACAAGGATTCCTTAGCAAGCAAAATGTTTGTTTGGAGAGCACACAGAAGTTTTTAAGTTAGTGTGGAAACTGAAATGTATGCAAAAAGTATTTTGCAAACTGGAACAAAATCTAATAATTAACTGCATGTAAATTAGCTAATATTTAAAAATATGAACACTTTGAAATGGAGTCAATAAAAAGAGTATAGTAGCGATAATAAGTAATTTTCTCCCCTCCTAAAATGGCAGGCACTTCCCTGTGCTGGCATCGGCCACTCCTAAGGCCAGACCGGTGGTCTCTTTATTATGGAGGCACCTAATAGGTGGGCCACCATTGCCTCCTATGAAGGAACAGATAATTTTTACATCCATGCCTTCTCCGGTATTCAAACCCGGGCCCTTCGGTATCACAGTCAAGCTCCCCTAACCACTATACCATCTGGGTGGCATAATAAGTAACATTTGTTAATGAATTGACTGAACACATTTCTTGATGTTCTTTCTGATATTCCATGATAACTTATTATTTAATATTCACATCAAAATGTAAGTACATTTATGGGTAATGTTCCTAATTCTAGATAATAAAAAAATATTTTACCTATTATTTCTTATTCTTGCATATTATATATCTATATTCTTTGCATATGTTTTTATTTCTTTAATTTTCCAATATTTTTAATTATATTTAAGGATTTCTTGTGGGACATGGAATTTATTTAATTGGATTAAGTGCTTGTGATAACAAAGGAGCATGTGGTACTGCTAATTTAACTATCCATGCTATTCCTGGTATAGCTTTATGCAAACTGAAAACAAAACCTTATGTGGAGTATGAGCAGGTAATAACCAAAACAACTGTTCTTTAGATACCTTTCTTGAGGAATTATGCTTTCTATATATTCATCGATTGTAAATTTCTTCAGTAATTTCAAACTATCAACAATTTTATAGACATTAGTGTATTCTGTATTGACTGCTAATAATTTCATGGTTTATATATTAATATTCTGTTTAAAAAACTTTCTACATTTTTACTTTGACTTGAATGTATATTATTACTGTGGATAATTCTAATAAAAGAAGTATTGGGGAAAAAAAAGGCTGTGTCATTGAATTCGAAATGCGAAAATGAAAATAATCATACTAGTTGCCTTAAGATGAGATCTGATGTGGTCAAAAGTTAAAAGAAGTTTTAAGTGTCAGTGCATTTTCCTTAGAACAATTCATATTTCATATTTTATCCCAAAAATGTTATCCATTCTATGTATTGTATGACTATGTATATATATAATGTCAAGGCAATAATATAATATTATATATATATATATATATATATATGTAAATATACAAAAAAGAGAAAGAGTGGGAACATTATTTTTCATCATTCTTGCACCTTTCTCCTATCGGTCAGCCACTACAGAGTTCAATAATGGAAAAAGGAAAGAATTCATCAAAATTCAAAGAATGGAAATAAGTGGAAAAGTTCATAATTTAAAATAGATTGTATAGTAAAATCTGATTTGTCACAGTAATTAAAATAAAAAGCACTATACTGATCTTTTAAAAATGCAGTGCTGCCCTGTCAATTAAAACTATACTGCAATATATTTCTGTTAAACCAGGCATGCTGGTTTTGTAATAAGAGTGTTTTTTTTTTTTTTTTTTAAATCTCTCTCAAAACTCAAATTCAGTTTTTAAACAAAACTCTCTTTATGTATAGCAAGAAATTGCAAGACCAGAAGGAATGATCTGATGAATGTCAAAATCACTTGAAAGGAAGAAGAAATTGGAATATGCAAATGATTAGAATTTCAGCGCATTTAGACAATGCAGGAGGGAGAAACAACATCTGAAGCATTGCTTAAAAGAAAAGTTGTGTAGTGGATTTCTTATTTGGAAAGAGCTTTGTAAGATTGGAGTTTGCTCAGAATATTAAGTTATGCCTCGAATAAGAAGAGGAAATGCTTACCAGCAAGTTTCGAAATTCGATAGAGGTAGGATCGTTGCCTGTAGATTATCGTTCCGTGAAATCACCGGTCACACTAGTCGACATTCAACCACTGTCATGTAAATATGGAATCAATGGATTGCTGAGAGTCATACTGAACGGCATGCAGGATTTCAACTTCCTCCCATGATTAAAGTCAGAGAGGACACCTGCAGTTCCTCTAGTTCCGAGTTAGACCTGCAAAACCCTACGACCACATCACGGACCTTTAGTCAGGAAATCGGCATGTTTGCAGCACGCCCAGTATCAACTCATAAGGTGCGTCGGCGTTTGCAGCAACATGGACTATCAGCAGGGGGACCATTACTTTGGCTTCTCTTGACAATGTAGCATAGAGAGAGATGGTAACTTTGGTGTGCTACATGACAAAGGTGGATACAGGAGTGGCACAATGTCGCCTTTTCAAACAAGTCCCGGTTCTACATGCAGTATTCTGATTGGCCGTATACGTGTCTGGAGTGTCCGATGAGACCGTACCTTGCCTGCTTGCATTCGATATCGGCATAGGGGCTCTGGACCTGTTGTGATGATTTGGGCAGCCATTGGGTACACGACACGCACATCTCTAGTTCAGATCGACAGTAATTTGAACGCAGATCGGTACATTTCTGAAATATTAAATCCAGTGGTTGTGTCCTATTTTCGAGGGCCCCAAACGCCGACGTTCCTTCGATTGCTGCTCTGGCCTGCACTGTTTCCTGATCTATCACCCATTGAAAACATCTGGTCATGGGTTGCTGAGAGACTAGCCCACCAACAAGATAATACAAGACCACATGTTGCAAGTCGTGTTCAGACCTTCCTCAATACACAGGGTATCCGATTGCTTCCCTGACCTGCACGGTCTCCAGATCAATCACCTATTGAAAACACCTGTTCATAGGTTGCTGACAAACTGGACCGCCACCCCTCTCTAGCACATACAGTTGATGAAGTGTGGCATAGACTTGAAGCAGCATGGAATCAGTTGCCCATTACTGTCATCCAAGCCCAGTTTGACTCCATTTCTAATGGGGAAGGGGCCATTTTAGCTGCCTGGGTTGGCAGCTGTTTCTATTAATTTCGTCCCCCTATAAACCTCCAAAATACTTACAAATTTAATCATTTTGTCTTCATGCCATATTGTTTACGTGCAATAAATATCTTTTTACTTCCTTGTACGAAGTAAAAAGAAAGTATTGTAATCGCAAAAAGTTTCAGGCAGCATATTTCAACGAAAATATCCATTTTGACCACTATCGAATGCAATTTAACGATTTTTTGCGTGATATCTGTACGCAAGGAAAGAATAAAATACTCTTTTCCTCCAAAAAAATTATAAAACTGATTTAAAATGAATTCTGAAGAGAGTTTTTCGTGGCGTCTGTACGAACGTATGTACATACGTACGTATCTCGCATAACTCAAAAACGAGTAGCTCAGAACGTTGAAATTTTGTATATAGGACTGCTATAACACGTAGATGTGAATCTCATATTTTGGTTGCAATCGGCTGCACCAAATGTATATAAATATATTTATATATATATCCACTCTGTTACCCGGCTCAGTGATCTCAGTTTCTTTACTCTTATATGTTTGTAAATTGTACATTTTTTGCTTTAAAAATGATTGAATTATGTTGTTCTTATCTTCCGGTTAAGGTTTTTATGCCTTTAGTAAATCTGTATGCAATATTTTTAGAAATATCAACACTTTTAAAGTTGTTTAAGTGGGTTTAAATAATTGACGCTAAGCCTAATAATATTTTTGATGGCGGCAATTGCTTGTTTACATTTGAAACAGCAGAGTAGTGGATTTGTTGCTAATGTAGAGAAACGTAGCTTCGCAACAACAAAGCTAACGCCTTCATTTATTATTGCGAATTAAATCATGCTTAATCCTTTCTGGAATTTTTTCGAAGAAATAAGTGTTTAAGATTTACTTCGTAATTTTTAATACAGATATTTTGAGTTTTATGTATTTTTGCCTTATCGCAATGTGAGAACTGAATTAGTTGAATGAGAAATACTCAATCGTCTGTGAAAAACTGTTTTTTTGTTTTGTTTGCTTAATTTCTTTTATACATCGTTCTAGCTTTATTGTAGTATTTGAACAGAACATGTGGCAACGATTAGATAATTCTTTAAATGATATCAATTTTGTGCATTCTGAGTTATATAATATGAACGAAATATAATACTGTTAAGTGAACCTAGTGCCAGAGTGTCGCTATGGTAAACAAATTGAGTGAATTTTAAAGAATGCATTTATTCTATTGTTGTTTATGTGCTGACGGCGAAGTAGATTTAATTCAATCCAATAAGTTTAAATGAAATGCATATAATTTAATATTCCATACAAGGAAGTAATGTGGTGTACATATCAGATTTTTTTGTATTTGCTTTCCTTCACTGTGTTGCAATTTTAATGGCCAGCAGTGTATGAACTAAAGTGGTGCAAGTGAACTTTGCTTTTTAAAATTACTATTAGATAATTTTGCTTCAAACAAATTTTCCCCCTTTTGATTGCCTACAGTCAGAATGGAATCTACTTCTTATAAAATATATAAGGTTCATTACAATTTTCACTGAGTTGGTGCCGCCTCTATTTTCAAATTTTTAAATTATTGTTTTCTATAATTTTTGTATAAAATAAAAAATTTACATTTTTTTGAAAAATTTCACTACTGCATCTTGTGAATTGAATTAAAATTTTTTTTTCCCCCCCAAGATTAAAGTTGAAGTTATTGGATGCTCCATTCCTCCTAACAGACAGCCGGTTACTTATCAGCTGTATCTTCATTCTCAAGACTCTGTCTTTCCTTTGTCAGCCCCACAAACTCCAACAATATTCAATATTATTGCACCACCTCGGCAATCAAATAATGGGACTCAAATGTCTGTTCAGGTAATATATTATATTTCATGTGCTGTTTCAAAGCAAAACCTCTCCCTCTTTTCCCCCCCCCCACAGAAGTTTTTTCAATTTTTCAGCAGGATTCTGCTCCTTGCCACACGGCTAAAATATTGAAAGAGTGGTTTCGTGCAAAGAGCATTAAATTGTTGTCATGGCCAGAAAACAGTCCTGACCTCAATCCTATCGAAAATTTGTGGCACCGGTTGAAAACTTTTGTCCGAATGAGGCGCCTATCAAATAAAAGCGACTTAATTGAGGCTATAATTGTTTCTTGGCATCATGTAATAATGAAAGAAGAGCTTAAAACTCTTGTCAGCTCAATGAAACGTCGATGTGAAGCTGTAATAAAAAAATAAAGGGTACCCTACTAAGTACTGATAACTCACTGCCAGGGGCGTAGCTAGAGGGGGGCATCTGTCCCCGGGTGCAGAATCCAAGGGCGCCAAACTGATGCTACGACATTTTAGAATTAAATGTTGTCCATCCTTGGCAAGCAGTAGGGGGCACGAAATCTTCAGTTGTCTCTGGGCGCTGAAAACCCTAGCTACAACGTTTTTAGCGTTTAACTTTTTTATAATACAAATAATTGAATTTTGTGTTTTGTATTGAATTCAGTAATAAATTCTCTTAAAATGATATATACAAGTTTGCATTTTGTGAAACGTAACGTTTTCTATAAGCATACAAAGTTCAAAAACACACAAATTTCCAAAAGTGTCCACAATTTTGGCCACCACTGTATGTATAATGGCAGGCACTTGCCCATTTGACATTGACCACTTGTAAGGTCAGAACTGATGGTTATTTTATTGTAGAGGCAACTAGTAAGAAGCCACTGTTGCCTCCTGTGAAGGAATGGGTAGTTACAACCATGCCACCTACGTGATTCAAATCTGGGTCTTTTGGTATTAAAATCGGCTCCCCTAACCACTATATCGCCTGGGTGGCAAGAAGCCAAAGTAAAATTAAAAAGAAGCTTGTAAGCTGCAGAAAATAAATAAAGAAGTAAAGTTTCATGGAATAAAGTTTTGAAACAAAAAAATGTTTTATATACAAATTGGTTAGTGCTAGTAATGCAGTCCACTACTCTATTTTTAGTCGGCATAGTGTACAGTCCACTGGTCTTTTTTTAGTATAGTATGTGGTCCACCAGTAAAATGTGGCTCAAAATACATAAATATGTAGTTTTTATACAAAATGTATTAAAAAATAAATATATAGTATACAGATGTTATTACATTACTATCTTTAATATGTGTATGCATTTAAAGGTACATTTATTAAAAAATACACAATTAGGAATGACATATCTAACCTGGTTTTTATGCAAAGCTCTTATATCTCTTAAAAAAAAGCTATGAATAGGTCATTTTCATTTTTCTTATCATTTTCAAACAGAAATATTATAAGTAAGATTGGAAATGTTCATTTGGTACATTTACGTTTTTGCATCAAGCCAAGATCTTTCAGTCAATTGCATATGTGCCCCTATTGTTGGATCAATATAATTTTCTTCATGATTAAAAGCTAGGTGATGGTAACCTCATTCTGTCAAATTTGCATAGGCTGGCTATTCATGTATAACTGATCCAGTGGCAACTCCACACTGTATTATTAGTATTAAGGTAGCTTTATCTCAGCATTGCACTTAAAAGTATTGAAATTCCAACCTCTTTTTAGACCAAATACACATGAACCATTAATTCTTATGTTGTGGTTCCTGTTATTGGGAACTTTGACATTGTGGGGCAGTGGAATCCTGGTCTTGTGTTCTCTACCTCTATCTCGTGCAAACTTCTCTTGCATGTCATTGTCGCACTAATGACAGAATTCTGTGCATCTGGAATCTTCTGAAAGGCCATGTTCCCATAGAAAATTAACAACAGTTTTTTTCACTTAAGGTAACTAACTTGTAAAACTCTTAATAACATCATAGAGATTTAAGCTTTGTAAATTATCCTAACTGCTTTAAAAAATGAGAAAAGTAAGTACTGCTCCATGTTTTATTATAAATACTCTGAGATACATAATAAAAATATTAACATAATTAGTAGTGACTCTCAATAAAATAACTACAGTATTTAAGTACGTATTAGGAAAGTTAGATGTTTCCCATGCTATACCAGCACTGAGTGGTTTAGTTCTCTAGTGTTGATTCAAAAAATAGAATATAGGTAACTCAACAAAATACCACAGTTGTGTTTCTTGTCATGGGAATCAATAGAAATTTCAGTAAACAAGAAGTCATACAAAATTCATACAATCTAGATTCAAATTTAGAACTCTTCATTATGCAACAAAAGAACATGCAAATAATCATGCACAAACTGAAACAAAACCATTAAGTATTGCAGTGATTTAGATGTGGGAGAAATAATAACAATAATATAACTTACATAAATTTTAATATTATATACATACATTTCCACAAATAAATACCCATTGGATAAAACAATAATGTACAGAAGTAAAATAAAAGTGTGTAAAGAGGAGAAAATTAAATAAAGAATGAAAAAGATTATATTCTTTTAAACAACTTCTGAATCATATCCAACAGAAAAGTAATATTCTTTTAATGTATGCATATATTTTAATATATATGCAGGGTGATTTGAAAATATCTGGAAAAAAATGTGAAGGCAGTTATGGATCAAAATAAACAGATTTTCTAATGGACTGTGAGTGCCTAAATGGTGTATTGAAATGGTATTAGGGGCTGTTGAGCAGTAGGGAAAAGTATCCTGCTAGCATAAATTTTCATTTACTAGGCAAATTTTGAATGATACACAAATGTGAACCTCGCTGACATCCATTTTTCTATAAGTCTGCTGTTAGAAACAGAGTAGCTGCTCAGAGAAGGTACTCGGAAAACATTCTCCTCTGTGCCTTCTTTGAGTATATGCTCCATTTTAGTTGCATTCAATCAAATTTCAGTTATCTACCTTAAATTCTTTATCCATAAATCAACTGTTATAAAATTCTAACTGGAAGCTGATAAAAAGAATTGAATTTCATATAAGTTTAATGTAGTAAAAACATAGTGATACGTCATATTAATCCTTTAAACTAATGAAATTCACATTGTCAAATGAATTTTTTGTATATATGGCTAATATGACCTAAAAGATTATTCTTTAAGAAGAGTTTTGCTTTTAATATTTATCAAGGTATATTATCAGCAAATTCAGAAGATAGAAGTTTGTGTATTTATAGAAGTATCCTTTTTCATGCATGTGTATTAAAGCTGCCATTTCTATGGTAATTTATGCTGAGGTTTACATATCATATATGGTATTATATGATATATTATGTATCATATTTGAAGTGCTACTATTTTATCTCTTAAAAGGTGAAGCACAATTTCTGGAAAGTTCTATTTTATGTAATTTAAAATGTTTAAGATTTTTTAAAAATAGCAAAACTGTTTGAATTGGAAACTCAGCATTTTTCTTTCAGCACTGAATCACATTTTAATTTAATATTTTGTTAAAAAATGCAAGCTTATATACTAATACTCTTCATTTTAAATTAAATATTAGCCATATTTTTACCATAAAGAATTACTATACTTTTTATAAGATGCATGCTTTTACTTAAAAAATTAAACTTCAATTACACTGTATCTTATAACCGTAAAGGAATATGATACAGTAAAATAGCCCCCAATAAATAATTGGTTAGTAAATTCAGCATCTTATCATGAAACAAATACAGTACAAATTAACATTAAATTGATAAAAAAAAATATATTGAATATTTTACTGATGGTAAAATCATCAGCAGAATGAAATTCAGGGTATGAATGAAGCAGTTTTTCATTCATAACTAAAAGGTAATGGGAAATGCATAAATTTTAAAATAAGACATTTTATTTTAAATTGTAAAAGAGTTTCATGTGCTTTGTAAATCTCAATATGTATATAAATTTCTTTAAAGGTTTGTGACAAGTACATGATATGCAAAATTTTCAATGGAGCTTATGTTAAAGTGACTTTGAGTGAAAATAAGAGAGAAGATAGAGCCAAACTCTTAAGAAAAGCTATGAAGTCACTTCAGATACGTAAGAATTATTTTTTCTCAAAAGTATTTCCCTTTGCTTTTATTTTTTGATTAATTTAGTCTTTTATGCAGTAGTAGTAATTTAGTAGTAGTTATTTTTGATTACTTCAAATATTTGATTATGAATATGCAAAATTTCTGAAATCATAGGTGATCCTTTAAATGGTTTGTCACTTTTTCTGACTGCTACATTGGATTCCAAAATGCCATTATCTGAGAGGGAAACCATGCAGATGTTGGATGCTGGGGCTAAAGCAACACATAATCGTTTTATCAGTGCTGCACAGTTGTCTCTGATTTACAGTGCTATGTTGCCTCTTCTTAGACAAGATAATAAGGATATTAATCTTAAAGCATTGGATGTTATTAGAAGGTCTACTCGTTTAGCCTTTGCTCACAAGGTATGTATTTCATTTAAAGCTGAACATGTTAGATTGGTTTAATTTCTGAATAACGGAATTAGAACAGTATGCTTGTTTATGAGTAATTTTAACAAGGATTGTCTTTTTTAAATGGAAAATATGCACAGGAGTATAAGGCTGCTATCACACGTCGGTTTGTTTCGAAAGAACAACTGTTTGGAACAATTTTTCTGCTTTGTCACAACAGCCAATGACCACAGCTCGCTTTGGAGTTAACACAGGAAAAACTGGTTCTCCATTACAAACAAGCTAACAGCATTCGGCGCTGATAGCTGATTGGTTGAAAACGAACAACTTGCAACTTTTTTCGAAAGGAAGGAAAAAGTCGCACGTCTTTCTTTCAATAGTAAACCAGGCAGAAAAATTGTCCGAAACAGTTGTTTGTGTGAAACAAATGCCGTGTGATATGGGCCTTAGAGTCATGCTGACAGTTTATATCAGTTTGAAAGAATCAGTAAGGGAATAATTTGCTCAAAATAAATTAATTAATTGACTTATTAAAACTATACAGAAAGTTTTTATGGCCAATTTTTCTCTTTCATTAGCTAAAATCCAAATAATATATCCCCTTCTGTTATTCTTAAACCTTCTTTTTACTCTTTTTTATTATTTTATTCAAAACCCATTCACACATCCCTTTTATCACTTATCACAATAAAAGTAAATTGACTTTCAAACAAAATAATGAATCAACAATTATGTAGATATGCATGCAACTAGATTAGATATAAATAACCCTTTTTTATTCCCCCATAAGAATATACCTGACAGTAAACAATTATGTCAAATTATTAGTACGTATGTTCAGAGTATGATTACAAATAAAGAGTATGAAGAAAAGAAAATATTACATTTCTGTTAGGTTTAAGAACTTTATTGTGCTTACAAAAGCATTCCACAAGGAAATTATTTCAAGACCAAAACGATCTGTAATTTTAGGGCCAATATTAAATTTTAATTTTTTTTTTTTTTGGAAGGGGGGTTATTTTAGTTTCAATACGTTTTTAATCCTATCTATAGAACTCAAAAAAATATTTCTCCAAGAATGAACGTTTTTTCTCTGTACTTGAAAATACATATAGTTGCTTCTTGTTTTACTGCACATATTACTAAAATATTATTATAGTTTTTTTTATATATAAATGTTAACATTATAGTGATCTCTTGAGCATGGGTCTGTTTTTAAATGTAATAATGAAATGACATCAGAATTTTTCCCTGTGATAAAATTAGTGATTTTAATTTAGGTATGAATGATGTTTATGTACACTCAAGTTATGTATGAATCTGAAATTTAAATATTTGGAATTCAGACCTTTTTTTTTTTTAAATCATACAACATATGTATATCAAAGGATAAAAATTGATAAACAACCATCCATAAAAATCTACTGTTTCAAGAAATAAAACATATTATATCTCTCATTTTAAAACGGATCTGTACAATCTTATCTTTAATAAAAACTGTCATAAAAATTTAATTTATGCGTTTATTCTAGCCCATGATATCCACATTCATATGAAGTAACTAATGCATTGTAATTTAGTAAACTAATACATTGTAATGCAACCTAATGTGATGAATTTGCACAGTAGTCTAAAGAGATATGAACTACTGATTCTCTCTTTCTAACTAACTACTGAACAGGTTATAATTAGTGAAAAATTTGTATTTATATGATTATTTGTGAATAATCAGCACATTTAACATTTAACTTCTATCGGCTAATTAGCACGATTTAGCTTAATTTGCGACCTGTGACAAAGCTCTTGAAAGAAGTCTACTTCAGAGCAGGGATGTGTTTGAAAAGAAATTTTCAACAGAAATTGGCTCATGTTTTATATTTATTACACAAGAGAAAGATGATTAAATCATATATGTAATATGACGATTTTACTAACGGGAATAAACTTCAGATTGCAGTTATAGTCGATCCATGATTTTTAGTCAGTTGGTTGCTGATGGGCCTGTATGCATATTTGATATAATATAAATAAATCATTTAGCTTAAAAAATCAAGAATTACAACATAGAACACAAATATGTATATCTGTAAGATATAAAGTATTGAAAGAAAACTACTAATTTTGATTTAGCAACAGTCCTTTTTAATTCCTTATTTTAAACTGGTTATCTCCCCTTTTCTATTCTAAATTGTTTCTAATAAATTTTTTGTCTGCATTTTTCCAAATTAATTCATTTCATTTTTCTTATGTAATCATGCTGCAAAGTGGATGACTCGCATCCAATCAGATTAAAGAAACTTTTTACTATAAATACTGTTGTTAGTATCATGCAGCCCTTTTTTTCCCTACTTGAGTTGCTTCTTGCTGTTACATCATTATAGCATAATAGAAAATCATATGTAATATTTACTATTGAACATCATCACTGTGTAATAACTCTTATCAATGTTCATACTAGATTATGAGGTAGGTAACTGTATGTATATAGGTAACATAACAGAACATTTCAACTGATATTGTATCAATCACATACCCTAGTATATGAGTAGTTTTCATAGTGCAACATAAAAACAAAATATGCAAACAATTCTAAATTTCAAAATAATGCGTTGTGGAAAGCTAAACCCATTCATTGTCTAAGGTCCAGTGTAAGGAATTAAATACAATAATTACAAGGCTAGGTAGGTAAAATTAATCTAACATTTATTAATGAGCAAATTTGTATGAATAATTTACATTTTTAACAAGGGTGGCGGCAGGTCTGCCTTTACTCTTATAACGTTGCGCGCCTCTAACTAGCACGCAACCAAGAGGTGACTGTGAAAGCTTGTATAAACCACAGAGTCTTATAAAGGGTTTAAGTCCCTTTTTATTCAACGTACTAATTTACAATTGCGTTCTCTTGACGCTTACAAATGGTGCCAACTCGGCAATCAAAATAAAAATAAAAACCTGAAAAGAAATTAAAGACAATATTCTAACTACGAGGCTCTCTCAAATAACTAACTCACTGCGTTTTACAATACGGCTGCTAATTCAGCAGACTTGAAGCTCACTGGAACAATTGCAACTACTTCCCGCCAAGCACATAGGCCGCAACGCGGGGTTTTTCAAATCTCTATAACTACCTCCGCGCTCACTAAGTAAGAATAACTCTCTCTCACCGAACTTGTTTCCTTCTATTTAAATCATACTACTTCCGCTGATAATTTGAATGCTTGCGCGTTCTACTCAAATTTACATATTCTGGCATTGGCAGTTCCAGGGAAAAGTAAGGATTGACAGGAAAGATAGTTTAAACTTAAAATAAATGTTAGTTAAAATAAATATAAACCCTACACTCTGAAGAAACAAATTTAACATACCTGCTTACAAATTTAACAATTTCACCTTTCGAAGGCATCAAACGTTATTGGGTTCTTGTAACAGAGCTGGAAATAACGATTTCGTTGGTAGGGGTTTCTGTAAAAGAAAAACAATCAGAATTAATAATGGGTAGCACTTTCGGAGGTCAGGCTCTCCACCCCACAACCACTTCCAACCGGCAGGACTCCGGTCATCACCAAAATGCTGGCCATTCTGCAAGTCAGGTGCTACTACTCCGTCCTTCGGTGTAAGTTGTTTAATTTCTTAGTCTACTCAGGAACGCAGTCGGCTGGTCCCCTCTCTGCATCTTGGAAGTCATCGAAAACAACAAAAATATCTCCTTGGTCCCTTCCTTCAGAAACTAACGTGTTATTCAAAATGGTTTCCTTATCTCCCTCTCTCCTAAAACACTGCGCAGCTACTTTACTTATTACGTATGATTGCCAGCCACTTTAATAGCTGGCACGTTTTTTGAAAATTTGGCGTAGATGTTGATCAGCAGGAAGCCAAAACCAGCAACCTGAACCGAGAAAATCTTCACGGGAAAAGGGTTTCCCGACTACCAGAAGAGCCATTTATCTCCATTCCTCCATGCAGCTTCCAAGGCCACACCAAATCTGTCAACAAGCCCCGCAGATGAAAACAAGGGGGGGGGAATAAACTAGCCTCGCTCGAGCTCCCAGTTCGACAATGCAAGAGCTTCCTAACTCAACAAATATTTTCCCCCTCCATAAAATATGTTGTAGAACTGCTCCAGGCTCGCCTGTCCAGCAAAACAGGGTCCTCTTTCGGGAAACACCATATGGTGTATCCATCCAGCACTTCACCCCCCACATATGGTTTTTCGTTTGGGAGAAAGGAATTTTGGGGTGCAGTAAAACCTCTGATAAGAGTTTCCGAGAATGAATTCCAAGTCGAGGGCAAGAGGTGAAAATTCTTTGAACCAAGTTAATACAAAAATGACTTTGGGAAATTAAAAAAATGCAACTACTAATTACACAACATTATAATTCATAATAAAAATGTCAGCACTATAAAAATTGTTTCTTCGTTCACAATTAAAGTATACACACATATTATCCAAATTGAATTACAATTACAATCACTTTTTCCTACCGCCAGTCAAAAAATATGTATTCGTTTAACTTTAAAAGAAAGAGGGATACAAATTAAGTTACTTAAGGTTAAGAAAAAAAGATTAACACACCAAGGTGCAGCAACAAGGCTTTAAAAAAAATTAAAGTTAAAAGTTAACAACCTTAAGGGTCAAAACAACAGGATACAAAAACCAAAAATCTTAAGTCCCTAAACTCAAATTAAAATTAAACAACTTCAACTCAAAAAAACTTTTAAAGCAACCTAACCTAAATATAAAGTTTACAAAAGTTACAATTTAAACTTACAACCAACTTTAAACAACAAAAAAAATTAGAACTTCAATTTCAGATCAAAACTGAAATAATAAGCAAAACAACTTAAGCTAGAAAATAAAACGATTAATACATAACATTGCCAACATGCATCACTTGACCCACTTGGTGTTTATCACCATTGTCTAAACAGATGAAAGCAGTATAAAACTGAGTAGTGTATAGTGCACCCATAATTTTGATACATGAACCCATTTTGATTAATCGTTTTTAGTAATTTGTTTGTCTTTTTTATTATTACTTGAGTGCGTGACAAATAAAATTTTAACTTATGTGAATCTAGTTTATTAATCTAAGTTTAATTTAAAGTGCAAGATGCATGAAACTTAAAAATAGGCATCTGAGTCTTTGTCAGTTTCCTTAGTATTATGTGCTGATGAACAATTAAAATTGTGAAATGTTAATTCTATACAGGCTTTTTCAAGAAAGGAGACTAGAGACTGTTTTCGTTCCTTAAATATTGACTAATGGTTCCAATTATAAGGTTCTTGAAGTAAGATAGAGAGAGAATATCAGGAAAATAATTACAGCACTGGTGGAAGGCTAGTTTATCAAATATGAAATCCAAAAGACATGAGAGCTTTCTAGAATAAAAATTCCACTTAGCAAAATGTTCCAGATTTAACATTGTAAGTTAAATGCAAGAAATTTAATGTTTTTATGAGACGAATTTGTGAAGATATTTCAGAGCATAATTTAATAATTTAGATTATTTTTCTGTATGTATTAGCTATCAAAATTTGCAATTTTTCAGCCAAATTTAGGTACTAATTTTTAAAAATTTGCTGATTCTAGCAATTTATGGTTTTATATTGAATAAAACAACATTCATTATTAATTTTAGAACTGGTCCCTTTAAAATATAAATTATGCATATCTTTTTTAATTTCATGCATAAAGGTTGAAAACTTTTTGTGAATGAAGCATAATGAACCTTTAATTAATTTAGATTTTAAATCTTTGAAAACAATGTGAAAAAATTGTGTTTATAACTAACTATAAATTTATTGTCAGAAAATTTTGTGGTTTAAGGAACTTAGTACTTGCAACTGCTTTTCTGAAATTGATATATATGGAAATAAAGCTTGTAATCTACTTTTGAACATCCTAGGTAACTTTTTATTTTATTTAATAAAAAGAAAACAAACAAAGAATGGTATTTTGGAAAATTTTGTAACTATGTACTATGTATACATTATGAACTAATATAATGATTTTTTTCAACAGGTTAAAATACCAAAAGCCATTTTAACTCAAGGCCATTCCAATGCTGCTGAAGCTCTTCAGAATCGCAATTCAGATTCAGAAGTTTCCTTAAGAGTGAAAAAAACTGTAGATATGTTTGTTGAAAAAATAAGTGCATCATCATCTCTTGGAAGTAGAGTGCTTTTAGCTTCAAATAATTCTGGATTTCCATCTACCTTGGTATTTAGACAACTTTTAGATCGCAAGCCAATTTCTATCAAAGCCAAGACTAATAATGGAGAAGTTGAAGGTTCTGTGAGGTTTGAAGAGTCAGTTCGAGAAAAGTATGTTTGAAATTATGACAGGAAATTAAATATTTCATTTTTAAAAGTGTTCTCGTTCTTAAGTGCATCTTGATGTTCAAACATTTGATAACAGTTGGGTGCCATTTAAGCACTAGTTTCTGTGTGATATTCATATGCTGAATTCATCTATTCCTCCCATAACAGAAAATATGCTTTCTCAGGAAAAAAATGCTTTAAAATTATGCAATATTTTCATATTAATTATTTTCTAGTGTAAGTTATATTTGACTAGTCCAAAGATTTCAATTACTTTTTAATTTTAATTTTTCATTTTCTTAACATCATATTGAGTATTTGTAACACTAATCTCCATGGTAAAAATAAAATGCCATTTATATTATGACAAGCCTAAAAATCCAAATACACATAATTTAATTTCTGTTATTAAAAACTGTTGTGTTGCTATTAATTATTAAATTTTTTTGCGAGATTATGTATATTTTGCAAAATTATGCATTACATAACTGATTACTATAGACTATCTTTATTTCTGAATGTTACTTAGATTTATAATATTAATATTGTGTATTTTTATATATATTAATGTATTTATATATATTAATGTATATTTTTATATAAATTAATGTAATTAATATATAAATTTATATATATTAATGTATATATTAATATTAATGTAACCCTACTTACGGCAAACCTACGTGTTATACGTAGTTTTTTAAAAAGAAAAAATAACACTGGGCGTGTACTACCACAGCAATGGGTTTTCGGCGGAATTTGCCGAGAAAAGAAAGAGACTTTTTTGGTTACTGTACCTAACAGATGCACCGTTACCCTCATGGAAAAAATTTGCAAAAATATCAAGGAAGGAAGCATCATTTATTCGGATTGCTGGAAAGAATACAATACAAGTGAGTTCGAAAATGCTGGATTTTTGCATGGAACTGTTAATCACAAATATAACTTTGTGGATCCCAACACGGGCGTTCACACACAACATGTAGAGTGCATGTGGGGCTCAGCCAAATGGCGCAACAAAAAACAGAGAGGAACAGCCCGTCATCATCTTGACTCATACCTTATCGAATTTATATGGCGCCAAGCTCAAGCTGTTAATGGCGAAGACGGTTTTCAAATCAGTGCTAAAAGCAATAGCCAAAAGATTTCCGCCGAAAAAATAATTCTGCAACTTATTCAAATTCGAAAACCAGAAGGGTTTAATTGCTATTTTATATTTTAAAACAAAATAATATAAAAAACTGTATTAAAAATTATCTGTAATTAATAAATGTACATTTTCTTTCTATTCATACTTTTTTACTCAAACTTACAAATCGTGCCAACCTGGTGCGATAATACGTAAGTACCAAAAAAATTTTCAAAATTTTTAAATGTTTCATCCATACTATATATATTTTTGCATTTTATTACTTTAATTTGTTTCTTAATCATTATACATTCTCAGAAAATTGAACAAAAATTTCAGTTAGAAAAAGAGTATTATAACTGAGTAATACCAATTACACATCATTTGATTTACAAAAATGAATTGAGTTTAACAAAAATATATATTGATATATAGTCATCTTGTAGTAGCTTTATGTTGCATCACTATAGTTTTGTGAAGTACTTAATGAAGTTTAAGTATAGTGATAAAGAATTTAATTTTCCTTGATAAGTTTTTGTTCATGATTGACTAAAGAGACTTCAGAAAAAGGCACATTAGAAATAAAGTGCATGCTATTGATAATAATCAGATAAAAGCAGGATGTTACAAAATATGGTACAGAAGAATGTTTTTAGAGAATGACTAGGCATTAATAAAAATTTTATGGAATAAATCTGTAAAAGTTTACTTATAGCTCTGGTCAATGTATTTTTCCATTCAGTAGTCTAAAAGTAATTATTACTTTATTTTAAATATCTGTAAAAATTGCTAAAATATAATCTTAAGACAAAAAGGAAATAAAAGAAACAATAGAGTTTATCAATTACTTCTAATGGGTTGTGTAATTTGAATATGAGTTTTTTACTTTGTAGTAATGATATTCGAATGGTGAAACCTAAAAATTACGAATATGCAATGTATATCCTGAAGAATGAAATAACAAATTAGATTTCATTATCTTTCTTAGATTCCAGTCATTCATATATTTTTTAGGATTTCAGAACTTTGGATTATCAACCTATCTAATATCTTATAAATTTACTTATTGTAACAGATGTGATGTTTCTGAAATACTCAGGAAACCTTTTTTATTAATGAATCCCGCTCCTTAATTGATGCATAATAAAAATTATTTGATGCCTTTCACTCCAGTAAAAGAAATTTAGTAATGCTGTTAATCCATAAAAATGCATGTGAATGGACAGCTGTGGTTTCATTCTGCTCTTTTTGATTATTTCTATATATAAAATGTAAATTTTAATTAGATTTTAACGAAGCAATGTTTGCATTACTTTTCTAAATAAAAATTTTCTTGAGTGTGACTGACAAAGAAAGGTTTGATTAATTTATTTGATTTTCAATCTGGTATGTAGCATTCAGTTGTTTTTGAATCTGGCATTTAGTTTTACACTAAATCATCCATGTGCTTTAAATGGTTTTGTCAAAAAGCTGTGTTAAGTGAAATCTCATATCCAAGATTAAATATACTTTTGGCATACAATCATCTTATGTTTCATGTACAATGAAAAATAGACAGATAGCTACAATGTATTTTTTACTCATAACTATAAAAACTGTTACATATGCTCTAAGAGCAGGGCTGCATTAAGCGATATAAGCATGTGCTTAAGGCATCAGGGAAAAGAAGCATCACAAAACAGTTTTAAAGTATTCAGAAAAGGGAGCATGAAAAAAATTCTCATTGCCTTTTAAGGAAGTATTTAATTTTAAACTAACCAATTTTGTTCAGTTACGTACCTTTTCTATTTTCTCTCATTTCTTGCCAGAGTGATATTTCAGTTTTGCGTGTTATGCAAAGTAGGGTAGAAAGATATTATATAAGCTGGTGTTTGAGTTACTTCAGATAGAACATGTTTCGCCATTTGACCATATTGTTTCATTGATATTTAAGATTGCTAATTTATTTGCCGGTTTGTGTATGTCAGTCATATGGCTAGTAGCCAGCTTGTGCTAATTATCTCTATGCAGCTTAAGCTGATTATTTAACTTAGCTTTAATTTAATACTTTTCTCTGTGTTGCACCCAAACGTATTGACTATGTTTGTAAGCACCAGGAGTGCCATCTGTAAATTCATTCTTGAGTAGAATAAAAGGATCTTTTCACCTTTCTGATGCCTTGTCATTGATACAGTTTGAACTTAGTAAATATTTGTTTCAGAGTTCAAATAAAAATCTATCCAGCATTAAAGTTAATTTAACTAAAATCTTAACAGCCTGTTTTACCATGCATAATAAAAGGTATCATGCATGACGAAGCTAAACCAAAATCGAGAGAAAAGAGGAATGAAGAAAAAACTAGCGTAAACATAAATAACGGTACCAAAATCTTTTAAATGCTTAGAGCCTCTAATTGAACCCTGACTGAAAGAGAGAGAAAGAATTTGTCTTCATTAGCGCATTCGTTGATTCTTAGCAAAATAAATCACATTCTTTTTTTCTTTACAATATATGCATAGAAAGTCATCTTTTTGTGAACTAGATGTAACATAAATCATCTCAAATCTCTAAGGTGTTGCAATTGTATGGTGTTTTCTAATGTACCATTTTGCCAGTCTTTCAATGTTACAAATTGGATATCTGGTACAACTAGCTCATGATTTTGAAAATACTCCACTGAATGATGTCATGGCACACTTATTCCATTATTGGTTCAAAATCACCTTCTCTAGCAACAGTTTTTGTTTTCCAAAAATGGTCAACGAAAGGATACATTAGTACTGATAAAATAGTAGGTCCATCATTGTAGTGATGTTTTTAAAATATGGGCTATTTGTACAAGAAGAATTTTTTTATTACTTAATTTTTGTAATAATTTTAATTATTTAATTTTTGTCAATAATCCAGAAATCGCCTGGCATTAAATATGCTTCTTCTGACGATCTCAAACTATGATATGAAACTGTTTGTTAAAACTTGCTTTTGTAACTAATGCTTACTTCTGACACAGGAAACTTTGCTGCCTTCTTGTGAAAAAAGCTACATTAACTTTCTCATATATAATAAAGTTGTGATAAGTTTTCAATCAAGTTATGGGATCCGTAATGATTATAGAAAGTGATTTACTTTATTATTGCCTGTGCTTTATTCTAATTTATTTTATAGTACACAATACACTTCATTTGCACATGCTTTATTGGTTCTTATAATTATTTGCCTGTCTATTTATTGATCTTTAATTATTTGTCAATATATTTATCTATACACTCTCTGAAGTTTAATTTAGTTTTATGAAGTTGAAAACTCTCAAATATTAGTAAATATTCATTCAGAAATCAATTATTTATACATCTGTATTTTAGAGTCATGGGTTTTAAGGAAAAAAGATGCAAATATAAGATAAAGCTTCCAGAATTACTCTCTGTAATATTTAATTTTGACAAGTTTTATACTGAATTCATTAATGAAATTACATCTGGTAATTTTGGGAAAATAATTTGCATATTTAAATCTATAAATAATTTTTTAAATCTTTTCTCTGTGGCATAAAATGATTTATGTTTCTAAAATATATAGTTTTGTGCTATGTAATTAATTTCATATGCATTCAATATTTTCATGATACTTCACAATTATATAATAAATGTATATAATTTGTCTTCAAGGGTGCGTAAAAGAGATTGTGGCAAAGCTAGTTGTGATGATATTGTTGTTGCCCTGACTCTGTATCCTGAACAGTCCCCTTTTCCTATATCAAAGAAGAAAACTTCTCCTCTGATAGATATCACATTACGAAAACCAGAAGATGGTAAATATGTTTTTATGTTCTTGGTGAAAAAATTGTGGGTGATATCCTCAAACTCAGTCTTATTGACTATGTCTAAAACAATTCATTATAAACACTGATATGAATTTTTAAGGTATTAAAATGAATAAGTATAGGTATTGATAAAAGATACTTTTTGTAGCTTTGTGAGATTTTTGTAATAAACAGAAAAATATTTGTGATTTATGTGTCCTCTTTTATCTTAATTAGGGAAGCCATTTGAAATATCTGATATGCCAAATGGAATTCATCTTGCCTTAAGTCATGATAAAAATGCTACTGATACACAGAGCAAAGGAGTGGTCTATAGATGCTATTACTGGGATGAAGATAAAAAATTGTGGACACTTGAAGGTCTTTTAACATCTGGGGTTGATGGAAAACTTATGAGATGTACTTCATCCCATCTGACTTCTTTTGCTGTCCTTGAAACATATGATGGTATGTTTAAGAAAAATAATACATAACACTGGAGAACAGCAATTTCGTTGTTTTAGATCTGTCAGATATTTTTGATTAACTATTTACCGATTCCAAAAATAACCTCAGTTTTTGTCTATCACGTTAACTTCACAAGCTACAGGATTCTTTTTGTGAACTAGATGTAACATAAATCTAGATGTAAAGTCGTACAATAATATGCATATAAGGGAAAACTTACCAAATACACTGTTCATGAAAAATAGTTTCATTCAATGAAAGGTTATATATAGTTACTGCCAGTTAAATTTTTTTCATAAAATAGTAATTTATTTTTTTACCAAATGGTAAAAATGTTTTGTGTGTGGATTTTTCTAGAGTGTTTAATTTGTGGTCATTCTTACTTGATGCTTCAACAGTAGTCAGCCATCAAATATACATCTCATCTACCTTGGTAGCATGCCTCCATGACCTTCAAATCTTGGTGGAATCATTCTGCTCATCACTGACTGTACCAAGATTTATTGGGAAGTAATCAAGATGGCTATGTGAAAAATGCAGTTTGATGTCATGTTGAAACCAAGCATTTTGAAGCTCTCCAAAGGTTGCTGGACAATCTTGCTGTAATTTTGTGCTTGTATATTTCCAAGAAAGTCTTTGACAATGTTTTTGAATGACAACCAAGCTTTCTTTTGAAGCTTTGTATATAAGTTGTTTTAGAGAGTGCATAGAAGAGATTGAAGAGTTGATCTTTAAACAGAGTTGCATTTTTAAGAACTTTTTTTAAGAATCTGTGGACCATCAAATGTGCTAGCCTTTATTGTTTTGAATGCCAAAATATGATACTTGAAATGGTCTCCTTCAAGTGGCAAAGCTTCCAGAAATTGCATTATGAGACCCAGTTCTGTATGCAGAGATGGAAATATAATGTTCTTTCTATCGACAAGTGGTTGTTGTAGAATGTTTGGATCTTCAGGTTCAGGTCAGATCTTGGTAACCAATTTGACTGAGCTTCTCATGAGCTTTGTTGTCCTGCAAACAGACTGAATGGCCTGTTGGGACTGCACCAAATTAATTTCCATTGTGGAGGAGGACACCCTTCAAGCTCCAAGTCTATCGATGAACAGTCGCCATTGAGTTGCAGTATAGTCTCAAATTCCCAATTCTTCCATTAACCATGTATGTTATGGCAATAACAAATCCATCATTACTTCAAAAGTATTGCAAAAATGCACCTTCTCTTGATCGAAAGTAGAATACCTTATTTCCTTTTTCAAGCAAGATTTTCTCATGTACTTTTGATGCTAACAGCTCTGAAGATTTTTTAATGGTTCCAACTCTCATGCCAAATCATTCAACTCATGCTGGTCAAATTCCTTACAAATGGAATCATCTTCAATTTTAAAATCTTCATCATTAGTGTAAATTATTCACCAAAATCCTATTCCTTTATTTCCAGATAGGGTAGTTCTTTGAAAACTGATACTGGGAGTTCAGCTGAGGGAGGCAGTGGACATACAGCTGTAAACTAGGATACTCTACTTTATATTTGTTTTTCTTTTCACAACCTGAAATGTTCACAATGCAAAAGTAGCAATAGCATGAGTGATCTTTAGACTTTTGCCAAATCATAAATTTACCAAATGGAAGTTTAGAACGCTTTCCCTCCATTCACATCCTTAAACTCTCAACACACTGCTTGCACACTTTGTGAGGGGGGACATGATTTATCGCGATCACCAATTTTCACTTTAAAATAAACAAAATAGGCTTGTCTGACAAATGTACAGATAGTTATCCTTTGACTGGAAATGTTAAAACTGCCACATATGTAACGAAACAGATAGAGACTGTTTAAGCATTTATGACACAAGCTAGCAGAGGCAGACATAAAGAAAGGTTTAAGTTCATAGTATATAAATAAACACTAAGCACTACTAACCTTGTATAAAAGCAAGAACTCGGATTCCACGTCAGAATATCACTGTATCAGAGTGACATACAAGTCTCACTACAGTATCTCAGGCTTAACTTTGCTAGGCTAGACAAGTATGCACCCATCGCTGGTCTCCTATGGCATCATTCACCCAGCACCTACTGGAGGCTTTATGTCAGCCAATAGGAGAACAGTAGTCCTGTGATCTACATTCGATGCCGTGGAGACTGATCACATTCACCTAATGTGTAGAGGAAAAACTTGACATGGTAGTAGAAAACTAAGTACAGTTTTGTAATCAGCATGCCTATTTAACCCTAAAACAGCTCAAAAATCAAACTCAACAGAAATTGTTTTGCAAATTATTCCCCAGTGTAATTTGTAATGAATTTTGCATTTTTATGTGCTCAATTTATTCCAGTAACTTACACTGTATAATATGTCATATTTTATTAAATATTAGTAAATTTAAGGAACAGTATGCTTGTATTTCCTTAAAACAATGACTCTGTCAGAAACACAATAGCCCATAACTGAAATGTGAAGGGACTTTGAATGAATATGTTGAAAATGTGTACGTGCAATACTGTAACAGTGTTCCTTTTATTATCATGGAATCTATCAAAGGATAATGGCTTTGTATTAGCAGAGTTTCACTCTTTTTGATAAAGATATGGAATTTCTTATGTAAATATTGGACATAAAACACATTTTTGATAGTAGAGTTGAGTTGATTTCAGTATTTGTTTTTTCCCTTTTCGTATTTTTTCAATCTTTAGGATAAAGATATGGAATTTCTTCTAATACAAAAAACATAAAACACACAGTAATCGCACAATATGCGATCTGCCGCATTTAGTTATTTATTCATTTTTTAGATGGCAGCACTAAAATTCGTTGTTTTAATTATTTCTTTTTCCTGCCATTTTATCGTACTTACAAATTTAAAAATAGCCTTTTTGTGGCACCTCCTAAGAAATAAATAACCAACTAAAAGCAATGCATCATGTACTGCATAATTACCAAGCACCTTTCCTGATAGCATGTTGAATTGATTTCATTATTTATGTTTTCACGCTTTGGAATAAAGATGTGAAATTTCTTCAATAAATATCAGACATAAAAACACATGTCTGATGGTATATTGAATTAATTTCATTATTTATTTTCATTTATCTTAGTTTCGATTTCCCAGTGTTGAAGCATTCATGAACTTCTCATTAAAATCAAACAGAAGAGAAACATAACAATGCAAAGTTTAAAATTAAGCAAAAAAATTTCTAATATCTTATTTTTCACTTTTTATTCCTGTTTCTCTCAGCAGGCTGTAGTATATTTGTGTTTGTTTTGCTGACCTCCCTCCAATCACATTTGATATATACACGAGTTTTGGGACCTCCCATTATGGCAACAACTTTTTTTTTTTTACTATTGAAGATTGTGGTGTCTTATTGCCTTCAAAATTAATAGAATGTTATTCAGAATTCACAGCAAACTAAACCCGTTTTTATGTTTAGTTTTAAATCTCGCTGAAATTTTCTGTGCATTATTGGAATCTGGTTTATACATCTTTCTCTTCTCATTCTCGATAAAAATATACCTTTTCTTATTATTATTACCTTTTCTTCTATGTAGATAAATCACTGTTTATCAAGACTCACAATATATTTTCATGGTCCACACAAGGCTTTACTATATTTTCTATATTCAGCCACATACCTTTGCAAAACCTGATAAAATTTTGTTTTTTAGCTTTTTCAAGCTGTAAATTTTTGTTTATTGGGATTTTTAAGGATTTTTATCCACCTTGTGATCTCACAATAAATTTTGGTTTGAATATTACTGCCCTGCATTATTAAATCATCTTGTAACTTTTTTTCCTATGAAACTTTACCTCAGGAAATGGTACAAAAGTTAATGCTAATTTTCATACTAGTGAATTTATCTATACAGATGTTAATAATGAAATTGCGATAACACCAGTGCTTAAATTGCGCCGGAGCCCACCGGAGTCCGGCTCCGGTACTTCTCACTTTTTAAGATAAATTACAATTTTAGCCGGAGCGCACCGGAGCCCTAAATAGTATGAGCTCCAGTACTTGTTTTTATAAAACTGAACCACAAGCGAAAACAATTTAGAGTTCCTAATGTTTTAGTTTAACAATAAGCAGATCTTGCAATACTTTATTTCCCTAGAAATACGAATTCATGAGAACATAGACATTCAAGTAAAGTCCCCTCACTCACATGCGGAAACCTTTCCCTTTAAGAAGGACAATAAATTTGGGGGCATTTGTTTAGAAACGCATAAATATCTTGCCATGCCATCATATCTAGTGTATTGTTATCGATGCTTGCTGTTAGTTATCCTCACAGGAAGGAAAATTTGTGTTCTTAAATGTGCGTTAAGTGACAGCGAGTACAATAAGAGTGAAATACTGAGATAAACTCCTCAAGCACATCCTATACATCATCTTCCCACAGTATCCACTAATGGGGGGGGGAGAAAGCATAATCAGCAACTTTACTTTCATCCTTAGGAGTCAGATTCAGGACTCATTTTACCCCTGACACACATCTGCTTGATGGCTATAATTATATCAGCAGAGAGCCGTGGTCAAAGAGAACGTTCTCTCTCACCAAAATTGCCCTCATTTTCTGTTTCCACCCACTCATACCCTCATTCTGTTTCGCCCTGGAATTTTCATTAGCTATACTTTAAGTATATTTAATTTTTGTGATGATAAAAGAACTCCCCTCCCCCTACGATCAGAGCTTAAATTGGGCCGGAGCCCAATGGATCTCGGCTCCGGTGCTTCTTAGTTTTTGTAATAAATCATAATTCTAGTCGGAATGCACCGGAGCCCTGAATAAGAAGGCTGCGGCACTTCTTTTATGTAACTGAATAACAATTTCAGTAGAAATTTTATCTCAAAAATTTCACTTTATCTCTTTACATTTTATTTAATTTTAATTATTTAATTACTTCAATCTTTAATTATTTAAATAAATAATAATTATCAATTAAATTAAATTAAATTATAATTATTGATTAAATAATTTATAAACATTAATTAAATAGCTATTAATTAATTTTTAATAATTAACTATTTAATTTAAAAATTATTAATGAGTTTAATGGTCATTTTAGTTATTTCTTTACTCTTGTTCCTCTTTGCTGATGGTCTTCCATAGAGTTCTGGCACTTCTAATCTTGGAAATTGAGCCCTGGATATCATATACAGTAGTACTTTTAACCAGAGTGAACTGAAGCCTTTTTGTTTAACCCAGGTTGACACTTCTTTTCTGTGAAAAATTGTTGTTGTCAGAATGCACCAGAACCCTGCTTTGAACTATTTAGTATCAGGCAGAACTATACACAGATTCGTATTCTCAGAATCTGAAAATAAAATATGGTCTTTTTAATACCTTTCTAAAAAATAAGTTATGTCAGAAATTTCCTAAATGTATTTAAAGAGGTAAAATACTCGACTGCAGCAATTTTAAAAACAGAAAAATATGTGTTCTAAAATTTTAGTATTGCCATAAATATCATAAAATTTCCATTAGCATAAACTGAACTTGTTTTCTGTTGTAAATATAGGAAGGAGTGAGAAAAAGATAACATTTTCAGGAAGATATAATTTTCGAAAAATATGTCTAAATAAAGTCAAAGTCTTCTTTTATTAATTTATGCATATTTATCTTTCCATACTTGCAGGGTTATCTACAGGTTCTATAGTTGGAATTGTTGTCACTGTTTTGATGGCAGTCTTCATCATCATGATGTTTGTATTTTTCTTCTTGCGTAAAAAGCAAGCTGCAACTACAAGAATTTCCAATGAAGCTTTGCAACCTAAGAGGAACCCAGATAAACTTCAAGGTATGAATGGCTCTGTTGTGCGAGTGAAAACTGTTACTCCATAAGTGTTATAGTTTAAAAAATATATTTATGTAACATAAATATTTTACTGTGAAGAAAAAACTAATTCATGTCTCATCAAGCATTTTAGCTTCTATATTGAAAATTTTCAGATCTCATGATGTGACTTAAAAATCATGATCTTTTTAAACCATTTTTATATTCTGTTTACTATCGAAATGGCTGCTTATGCTGATGACATTAAAATGCAAGCCTGAAAATTTTAAAGAAAATTGCAAATTGTGGTGCTCATAGGAAGTTTGGAAGTTAAATTAAACTGTGATTAAAATTAGAAAATATAAGAAGCTATATCACAAAAGGAAAATCACACAGAACTGGATTCTTTTGTGACCTTTAATTAAATTCTTAGATACTGATGTTATTTGAACTTTCTGGTTTAATTGACTCCAAGAGTAGTTGCTGTGATTGAAAGGTGGTTTTTTTCAAATTTACGTCTCACAAGAAGTTTTATCTGTAACAGAAAACTTTGTCAAAGTAAAATATTATAACTCTCAAGCTGTATTACTTGTGTTAGAACTGAAATTCTCTGAAGTCGGTAAGAAAAGTAAGCTTTAATCATCTCTCATGTAATTTGTAAAGAAAACAGAATTTTGTTATTCTATTGCCAAAAAAATGAGTTTCATTAAAAACGTATAGAGGCTGTTCACAAATTTTTTAAATGATTTTCCTTGTTACCTCCTCAAATATTTTACCTAAAATTTTTTTGTTTTAAATCTTCTGTTCGATAACCCTAATTCTTCACTATCTTTCTACATCGTAATTTCAAAAACAATAGATCTTTTCGCAGTGTCATAAGAGGTATTTTATCTCATTTATATCTTCTTGAACAGCTTTCCAAAGTCCAAGAAAGGCTGTAGGTCGACAGCCCTCTTTGGTTTGGGGAAGCTAGTCCCCAAACCAAGGCATGGTTATTTTAAGAGTCCAAAAGCACAAAAATTCATTAATGATACATCAGAATATTTAGTAGGGTATGAGTGAAGAGAATCAGAATATTTAGTAGGCTTGATGCCCATTGTTCCATTTTTTCTAACAGTGGATTTTGATGTATGGCTGCTTGTTTTATCTTGATGCAGTTCTATTGATTGATGGCACTGTAGATAAAGAGCCTAATACTGATACCTAATTTTCAAATATTTCATATTTGAAAATTAGGTATCAGATATGTTCCTGATAATATGTGGAATTGATCTTAACATTTTTCTCCACTCTCTTTATATTTAATTTGCCGTTATATGAAAAACCAGCAACAATCGTAAATTCCTTTGAAAACCTTTCTCTAGATTCTTTGAACCATGTTTTAAGATTTTTTTCTCCCTTTTGATAGTGGGCATTTTAATGATTTTGTTACTGTTATTTGAATTGGTGGAGCTTCTTTTAACATTAAAGATCCGAACTTTTCAAAATTCGAAACATTCCGTTTTTTCTTTGGATAGGTATTTGGAACAATTTTTTCACTTGAAGCCAAACTCTGACGTTTTTATTTTCCTTTTTTGTTGACAATATTACCTATCATAGCTTTAGATATTGATAAACTATGGCTTTCAGAGTGTTTTGTAATACCTAGATACGAATAATTTTCTTCAGAAAGAGCGCAGACATGCCTTACATCCATTACTTCTTTAGAACCGCCATTTTGCAAGAAAAAAAAACTGTCACGTAGGAGATGGTAATTTAATACTTTCAAAAATTTAGCTAAAAATCAAATTTCCAAGCAGACGAATTTTTTAAGTGTACGAACGGCCTCTGTACACTTTAAAAAATATTAGAACTTAAGTTTTTGAGTACATTATATATTGTATATTAAATACATTGTATATCTCTTCTGTTTTGAATACGTTAAAGGAAATTTCATACATAATGTTTACATTTTTAGATTGTAAAACAAAATTAAAATTTACATACAACTCTGATTTTACATGGTATTTAAGAATATTCAAAGAAAGAAAATTTTAAAAATTTATTTTTATAATGTAATGGAACACATGCTGCTAAAAGCCTTTTTTTAATACGTTACATACTATGTATTCGCTGACCATTGTGCCATAAGTGTAATTAATTATAAACTTTTAAATTAAATTCATTACTTCAATATTTTTACAGTAATTATTGTATTAAATGTGTGTGAAATTCAAAATAAGATCAGCAATCTGCTAATCTCACTTTTGGAGATTTTACTAAATATTCATCATCGCTGATATATCATGCTCCAAGCCAAATGTTTGTTTACATTCCTTTAACATATTCAAACGTGTAACATGTGTAATCTTTGAATAACTATTAACTTTTGAATAGGCGATATTTTCTACTAAAAGTGTTTATTCTTTGTTTAATTTTGTATTAAACAAAGTATTAAGTGTATTCTTTGTTTAGTTGTAAATTTTAATTTTGTTTTACAATCTAAAAATATAAACATTATGTATGAAATTTCCTTTAAGGTATTCAACGTGTAACGTGTGTAATCTTTGAACCACTATTAACTTTTGGAAAAGGCAATATTTTCTACTAATAGTGTTTATTCTTTGTCTCAATTCATGCTACATGTTATTTTTGTCTAGAAGTAGTGGGCATATTTAATTATTAAATTAATTATTATTAACTTTATTACGTAAAATAAATGCTGTTTTATAAATATAGATTTAATTATAATTTTGAGTCACCTTTTGTTTTAATTATATAGTGGCATTTATTAAGGTTTGTTTTAATTATATAGTTGCATTTATTAAGTTTTATAAAAAGATTGTGCACCACTGATCTAAATTACTTAAATTAGAAATGTCTAATTTAAGTAATTAAATTAGACATTTCTAATTTAAGTCTGTATTAAGCAATCAATTTGTCTGTATTAAGCAATCAGATTTAAATCATATCAGTATTAATGTTCAAAATTCTTTAATTCAGTGTATACATGATTTAAACATTTTTCAGATGTTCTCCTGTGCACTTTCTGTTAATATCTTGATTTTATTGCATTTATATTAAATAATATCAATCCCACCTTGGACACTGTAAAATGTCATAAATAAAATTTGTAAATGAAAACTAGTTGTGTGAAAACTGAATGTAATTTATTTTCTGCTGTTAATAAAAGTATAGCTTTTTTATAACACTATGGTGTTTTTAATGATTATCAAAGTCATTTAATGTTTACCTGCTAAGATTAATTAAAGTTCTAAGTAGTAATGAGTTAAGGGAAAAATTTTCAGTAGAAATTTAAATAAGCTATTTAGAAAATCTTCTAGCTATTTAATTTCATTACAGATATAATACATACATGTGCTGCATATATGCACTTGTTACCTGTAAGTTATTTGCTGGGCCCTATGCTTTTTGAAACATATGTGAATGATATTACGAAACTGACTGAAATAACTTACATAGATGATATTACATTATTCTTTACCTGAATTCCGATAAAGCAAGTTTCAAAAACACTTCAAACAGCCATTAATCAAATCAGTATTTAGAAGAGGGGAAATTATGATCAGTACCATGGAAAGCTCATTAGTTGTTTCCATTGTTATAACATTAAGAGCATTACAGATAATACTGCAAGGTTAGGTTAGGTTATTTGAATATGGCAAAACCACAAGACCTGTCTATCTAAGGAGAGCAGAGGTTTAGCTGCTTAATCTATATAAGTCAATTTTGTTGTTTCATCTTGTCTTATTCCAAAGTAGCAATGGTATGGTCAGGTTGAACGTGAGATTTACCCATTTCTGAACAAGCTCTTGTTAGTTCATCTCATTTCCTAGAGATTAAGATTTTAGTATGAGAGTGAGGGTTTTCTTACCTTAAACATCTCAACTTCCATTCCTGAGTTTGTTTCCCTTGGAGAGAGAAATTTTTGTTCAGAAGTTAGTAGTATCAGTTTCCAAGACTTACTCATGGCTAGAATAAAGTGTGAAGAGATCAAAAGAAAAAAGAAGTACTAAAGCTCATCTTATTTAGGGCACCTGTGTGCTCTGACTAGAAATATAGTATATTTCAAAACCTGAAAAGAATCGGAGTCAAGCTTCTGCAGGATTTAAGCACTGGATATATAACTTAACAACAAGTTTGAGCTAGGGGGGATAGCTAAATCATGCAGTACCACCCTTAATATGGGTAGTCTTCTGTATACAGAGTGGTCATAAAAAACTTCTTTGAAATATGGTCTCCTAGTCGCCTTCCACTCAACCAACTGAAGTGAAATTTCAAATGTAGTTTTTTGTAAGTATGCGCTTGAGAGTCTTATGATTTAAAACAGTAGAGCTCTCACAGTTTTCGTTGCAGTGAAAAAAATTCGAAATTTTTGAATGGCAGCACACACTTTTTTCCTGCGCAAAATGTGATCAGCACATTAAAAACCATAAATGGTGTTGGAAGGATATAGGTATGACGAAAATTGCTGGTGTAAAATATTTGCAAAGGACCAATGACAAGAGAGGAAAACACTTTTATTGTAATTACGAATTTTCAACGTGTACAACATTTCAAGATAGAGTCATCTCCCATAACTTTACAGTTTTGTGGCCATCGCGATCCTCCGACCTTACTCCGATGCATTTCTGATTTTGAGGTTATCTAAAATGTAAGGTGCATTCGCCAAATCCACGAGATATGGCAGAATTGAAAGATACCATAAAACGTGAAGTTACACAGATTCCTCTTATAATGTTACGTTCGTCATTGTCAGTAATCTCCCGCATGCATTGCGTTATCGTCTGCGAAGTTGGGCCTGTTTAAAACTTGCAAATCCAATAAAAGAGTTGCTCCAAACTTTTTTTTTCTCTTCTCTGTTGCGTTGTCATTGGTCCTTTACTATGCTCTTCTTTGCAAATGTTTTATGCTGGAAATTTTCATCATGAGTGTATCGTTCCAATATCATTTATTGTTTTTCAATGCGCTAATCAATTTGCGCAGGAAGTGGATGCTGCCATTTCGAAATTTCTTCACTGTAACTGTGAAGAGAGCTCAGTTATTTTAAATCATAATAATAATCTCGTGCGCATACTTTGAAACAACAGCATCTGAAATTTCCTTTCGATTGGTTGAGCGAATAGGCCGTTAGGGGCTTATTTATAGGGTCAAGTTTCTTTATGAAATTTATCAGTCTGATGTTAAATGATAAACCTACCCTTAGAAATCACATTAATACATGAAAAAATATAGCGTATTTCCACACTATAAATAGAATCTAAAAGAGTGATCTAATCTCCAAGTGAGTAAATTCGGTTTTGGTTTTATTTAATTATGGCAAAGCACACGAGGGCTATCTAACTGAGGGTTGGATGATTTCGTAGAGAACTTTCTAAGGTACGCTGGTTCGTATCCATGTAACACATGCGAAAAACGCTCATGCGGACTGCCTGTTCGTCAGGATTCGAACCCTGGAACGAACTACCAGTGTTCAGCGACTTTGCTGCTCGGCCGCTAGTCGGCCAAGTAAATTACTTTTATGTATGTAGTTCTAATTTGAGTCGCTGCAACTAAAGCAACCATATGTACCTGGAAACTGTCCATACAAAACACTTTAAATTTTTTAAAGTATATACCTTGATTTATAAGGAACACAACCTTAAATAGTATTTACTTCCATAGCGGCCTTGGCGAGAAAGATTTGGCGCATTTTTACATTAGCGAAAAACGCATAATTGCCAGTCTGTGCATGTGCTCAACTGTAACCACCAGTAAGATTTTCAAAAAAGAATTTTTTCGGTGTATTTATAAATTTTTAAATAAATTGCTAACAAAATTGTATCAAATAAAATAACTTTTTATTTGATACAATTTTGTTAGCAATTTATTTAACAAAATTTTTATGCTATGTTTAATAATAAATAGAATTTTTCGGCATGATTATATATTGTTGCGTTCTACGGGTTTCGTGGATTTTTAGTAATTGATGATAACACTTGATTAAGAATAAAAACACAATTTATTCGCCAGTATTGCTCAGGGTGGTTCCATTTTGTCCGAATCACTTTCCAAGTTGTTGCCACCAAATGCTATCGCCATGCATTATTATTTTTTCGTATAAAATAAAAGAAGCATCGTAATCGCAAAAATTTCGGGTGTCGTATTTCAACGAAAATATCCATTTTGACCCTTTTCGAATCCATTTGGACGATGTTTTTGCGTGACATCTGTACGCACGGGCAGAATAAATGTCTTTTTTTTTTCCGAAACGGATTTTAAAATGGGTTCAAACGAGATGTTTTTCATAACATCTGTATATATCTCACATAACTCAAAAACAAGTAGCCATAAAACGTTGAAATTTTGTATATGAAACTACTATAATGTAATATTGTAAGGATCTTAAGTTTTACTAACGTTTATTTTATTTTAAATCTTTACTATCACTTCTTATTTTCTACTTCCGGCCAGAATTATAAGCGTGAAGGATTTAATGCAAAGTTGTCTGGCGAACGCCAAGTATTTAAGTGTGGCCTTTTTGCCAAGCAGGAGAGAGGAAGCAGGCCGCTTACCTTAGAAGTTACGCAGTTGCTATTTGCCTTCCAGGCCAGAGGTTTTAATCCTCTTGATAAATTAAACGTATTGTAGTGTTCACAGTCTCTGTGCTACATACGCTTCCTGTTATTATAAGGCCAATCTTCCACGTTCTAAATTCTAAAGTTAAATTAGAGTTTAGTTTTATTTTATATCTTTTACGTTAGACCCCGAGTGGAGGGTCATTGTATTCCGAAGTACGGAAGTCATTGTATATAAAGAAAAATAAAGGGTTTTGTATACCCTTCGTCTGTATCCTGTCTACTTACTACAATTAGTGAACATAGCTTTAGTAAGCTCTCTGTTCCGAGTCAGGTCCTTGTATGTTCCCGAAGAAGGTTAGAAGGAACATTGAACCTGATAGTGGCGCCCGAACGAAGAATAACCATGGCCGAGTTTCAAGAAGAACCTGTGCTGCCTGCAGAAACGGCTCAGAATCCAGAAATGCCAGCTGCCGCCCTGGAAGGATTTGGGTTACATCGTCCAGACCATGCGCGCTTCGATGAAACCAGAAGCAACGTTTAATGGAAACTCACCGGTAACCAGTTTTTTGGAAAAATTGGATGACCACTTCATGCTCTACCCCCGTGCACGAGTTTCAAAAAGTTACCTTAGCTACCAGCGCTTTGAGGGGCCAAGCGCTTAACTGGTTCAAATGTATAGGCAGAAGTCTCTTGGGTCAAGCAGGAAGTCCCACCTATACTTACGAAAATTTCAAGACTGCCCTACTAAAAGCCTTCCCTGTTGTAAGGGATCGTGCGAAATTAGAAACGGAACTTTTCAGTATATATCAACAAAGAATCGAAAACCTCTCGAGCTTTATTTTAAGAAAAATTCACGTTTTCAAGCTCTTGTATGGAAACCGTCCGGATCCTGAAATAATTCAAGTGATTTTGCCGAGGTTACTACCCCAAGTGCAAGACTTTATTGAATTAAGAAATCCGACTACACTGGAAAAGTTATTTGAGCTAGCAATCCAGTTTGAAAGTAGAAGAACGGCGGACGTCGAAAGAAGACGCCAATATCAACAGCGAAACCAATTTGGTACGCCAAGACTACAGCAAACTCAAGCACATGGCTACGGAGAAAAAGCGAATCAGTGGGCAAGGAAACCCGAGCATTCAAAAACAGCCGGCGAACGTCGACAGTTCAATAGCAACCCAGGAAAAAAGTCTCAAGGCCAGTGGAGAAAGAAGGAAAGCACCGGAAAGGAAAAATAATTTAAACTAAAACGGATTTCTGCTGACGAGAGGGTGCGGAAATCCGAAGGCCACGAAAACCCCTCTTCCTACAAGTTAAATACAGTAATGGTGAAAAATTTGACTCTTCCGAAGATTGAAGTCTTGGTGAATAATATCCCGGCCACCGCACTCCTGGATACCGGCGCGCAGTGTTCCTGTGTGGCAGAAGTCTTTTTTAGAAAGTATTTTCGCAAATACCGCATATATAATGCGGATAATACGACAGTATTAGCGGCGCAAGGAGAACAATGTAAGTGCGTAGGTAAAGTACCTTTGTACATCCGTATCAAGGACGAACAAGTAAAGGTGATGTTTTTTTATAGTAAAGAATTTGCAAGCACATTTAATCCTTAGGAATAGACTTTTCTTTCAG